GTAGATTCGATTGGGATTGGGATTGGATTTAGATTGCAAGAATACCTCCACGATTGCAAGCATGAGTTTGTCTCCATATTTTGCGTGTTTCAGCAATCAAAAGAGTGTTGGATAGCCGATAGAAAACTCATGTCAGTGATGCGAACACCACTTCTGAAAAAATTGGACACTCACCAAAACGAATTTGACAATACTACCGACACTAGTGGAGAATGTGCTCGCAGCCAAATCTGCTGCAGGAGAGGGTAGACTGCGTAGCGAAAAAATCTAAAAGCAGATAATTAAGCCACTTAATATTCTCACTGAATTACATGTACCTTTTCAGCACCATTCTTCTCTACGAACCCTTCCAGATCTGAGATCTGCGACTGCAGCTTGTGTTATGATAGCTTCGAAAATTTGATGGCAGATAAATATGCGTAGCACAGTCTATGTACAATGCTTTGAATCACCTTGGTCAAAATGAGAATGTAGTCTACCAAGAGTAGTGACCGTGTTCCATCCTTAGTATCGGAAGACAATCCATTTCAAGTCTCTATAAAATATGTAATCATGATCTTCGCCAAATGAATTTGATAGTTCAAAAAAAAGCCCAACATTTTGTCAGCTACGCACTTCTTCCTCCACTGACTTCATCCAGCTCATTTCAGCCTTTTCATCGTCGTCAGACATTTCCTCATTTCCTTTCAGACGACGACGTTGGAAGCTGAATGTGAGTAACTTCACTGATGGTTCCTCTTCATTATCTACGGCTTCAACGAAATCATTGTCACCATCATACGAGTACGCCCATCGTGAATGTTCTTCATCGGCCGTGTGGGCCTTGCAATGACAATATTCCGAATACCTGCAACTTTTGACTAATATTATATCAAAATGGAGGAGATACATCACGTTTCGAGCAAAAAGAGGTGACAAAAGATTAACCGTCGACCAACAAAACCAAAAGGAAAACGATAAATGGAGCTGACGGTATTTCGAAATCCGCGAATCGGGGCAAAATCCCGGTAAAATCCGCGTAAAACTAAATTCATGTCTCCCGCCGGTGCACCGGGTTTTGGTGCGACAGCCATTTTGTGGGCGGTCCATCTGCGGGTGACAACTGCGAATGTCTGAGAACGAGCTGAGTCAAGTGGCCTTGTATTAACGTCCACTCTGAAGCGAGATATGGCCACTCTACGGTGATGTCACATGAATCGGGCCACTGTGCGTCGTTTTTTTCAAAAATTAGGAGCGGTTTTGTACTTACAACTTGTTCAAAATTGAGTTGAGGAGGTAAAAGAAAGAGCAAGGAAAAATCAGTAGGCCTTAGCCTTGCCGAAGGGTACTCTAAGAAGTTTCGTCACCTTGCCTCAAAAATTTGTCTATTGATCGAATGATTAACGTAAAACCTTGTGTGGAATAAGCAATTTTGGTAGCCTTTACAGTGCTGGTCACAACTATGAAGCCACATTGAATAGTCAAGGTATTGTGTCTTGCTATAAATAAATTTATCTGAAGAACCACTATTCTATAAATAAACCAACGATGTCGCTGTCAAGAACGGCTCCCGATTCAATTGATCGAAGAAAAATTGGAAAATTCGAAAAAAGTGTTTCGAAAGCTGATCACAGCTATATAGCCACCCCTTTCTCTCGCTTTACTAAATTCCTTAAAATTAAATTTTTTTGTACATTCACAACATCAATTTATGAAGCATTTGTTACACCCAGGGTCAAGCAAGGAGTGCGGCACACGATCGCTGGTTACGACCCCCCCTGATTGCTGTCTTAATAAGACCCCCCTGAACTATATACCTAAGATAGCATTGCCAGAGTTGAGAAAGAGGTCAGGCACAAGTCTTTCGAAACCCCCCCCCCTCCCTCCCATGAAAGCCGTCAAACGACCCCTTCTTCCTCCTCTTAACCTCTGGACCTCTTAGTGCGACATTCTGGAGGTTACCATCTTTTTCTAGAGAGATTTCAGATTTCTGAGAGATGTACGCCCGATTTTCTGTGACTGCACTTTACAATCACACGTAATTTGACGGCTGATTTTTCAGAATGGGCATATTGAAAGGGCCATAATTTTCTTGTGGGTGGGCCGTTCGGCTCCAAATTTCCAATGTAGCAAGAAGAAGCTATGTGCTCAATACTCATACCAGCAATGGAGCGCTTTCTGGATTTTAAAGGCAAGTTAAGGGGGTGTGCCGCACCCCATTAACTATATCAAAAAAAAAATTTTTAGCGGACAGTATTTATATGAATCGATGGCCTAAACCTTGTAGATTCCATAGGACTGTTTGGAGCCTGATTTGTCTTCTTAGCTCTAAGTAATATTTGGTGAAAGCACAGCGATCAAAAGCGAAAAATGGGAAAAACGAGATTTTGGTTGGCTTCTAATTCCACAGTTTGCAAGTCTTCTGAAGCGGGATTCCTGAGGTGGACAAAAAAGGAGTAGTGCTTTGTCTTGAGTACAAAAACGGAAAGCTAATTCACCTTTGAAACAGAGTTAACCATGTTGTGACCATTTCATTTAGGTAGCCTAGTATCTTGAATCCTCAGAATTCGCTCACACTTTGTATACAGGGGTTAATTGACATGCTAATTATGGATATGATACGAATATCATGTTATCACTATTATCAGATTACCCAACTACGACCCCCTCCCCTTTTGACTCCTCAATACGACCCCCCAGGTGGGGTGTATGCCAAGATGAACGATAGCTGGAAATAAGCATACTGTACTCGTGCGGTTGTCAATATGCCGCGCCTAAAGTCTTATTTTTTGAAGCGATATGTTCTTCACTGGGTTGAAAATGGTGTCGAACAGTAAGAATAAGGCGGTACCGAGCTTCTAGCGTTTGAGTCAAAATTTTAGATATCATCATAGCGTAAGTATAGAATCCAGAAAATATTTGACCTAGGCAACGCATATGGCTGGCACAATCTATCGTTCATGTTGGCTGCCCCCCCCCCCCCCCCAGGTGTGGCGTGCCGCACCCCACGCTTGACCCTGGTTACACCTGAGTGCTATCGCCTTTTATTCTGCGTTTCTGCTTCAAAAGGCTTGAAAGCCGCATTTTTGAACGCTGCTTCACCGTGTTTTCAAGCACATAATTTCTTGGATGATCTTGAAATTCGCTGAGCTTTATCAATGAATGCGGTAAAAAGAGCTTAAGTCAACTTTCGCTGCTCAACCGTCTTCAGGTAGACGAGATCCCTTACCACAGAAGTTGTGTTCTGATGCCTGAAAGGCTCAGTGTTGTGCTTAGTACATCACCTACCACGATGAACTTGTGCGCATTGCCGGTCATCGTCGCAACTCTAAGAACTGCGGGCTTGCCTTTGAACGCTTTCTTCAAAATATGGGTGGTGTCTGTAAGATTATCACTCTGGCCATTCATCGGACACAAAACCGCTCAAAACTTTGATCTAGTATACCCAACAATACCGTAAAATTTGACTTGATGAGGAGTTTGTAAAAAATTTTTGAGCTTGTTAGATCTACTGGTGCAAGCGAACTGCAAATAAAGCGCTTTGACTCGGTACGGCAGTCGCGTCCAAGAATTCGGATAGCCTTCGTATGAATACGTCGTCGTGCAAACAAAATGCAACTTCCCCCCAAGAGTTTTCGCGAGTCAGAAATCGAGTCTGTGGCTCAAAAGCTAGCTTACACCCGTGGTTAGGTAAAGGCTCGTTCGTCAGTATGTAACAAATGTTCCACACTTTGCAATGTGACTGTGCAAAAATGAAAATTAAAAAATCTGCCTTCTGAATCAACGGAAGATGAGGCATTTTACCCCGCGAAAGTTGCTTACAATGTGAATTCGTAGTCTGCAGGTGTTGGATTTTAGGAGATCTGGCAGATTGCAAGATCGGGTGGCGCTGAAATCAGGTGAGAAATGCCCGCAGCTTAAAAGCAGCGGCTCGGCGGATTTTCAACTTCGCGGTTTTGGCAGATTTGGGGCTATTCCGGCTTCCTGAATCACGACATGAACTCCCCTTAGCGCGAAAATGGGGAAAACTCTGTCTTTTAAAACCCTCCTTGAGATGGGCGCGGACGAGTGAGCCGTTTTTCTCTGCCGTCAGAGACGCGAGTGAGGAGGTAGAGAGCGCTAGAACAAGTGTGCCCTACGAAGCTACGAGTGACGGCGCGTTTTCCAGCGGGGAACACACTCGTCCGCACAAGGTGTTGCTGTTAGGGGAGCGAAAGGAGGAAGGGGGCGGAGCTTGGCTCGCCCTCCCCCCCCTGGCTTGCAGAGTCCACATTTTCGGCCCGGAGTTGCTCTCTTGGTTCACTTGGAGGGCCTCCTATCCATCTATGTCAAGTTCTGAGGTAGGTCTATTCTGCCGAGCCGCTGCCTTCAACAATTCCTACCTAAGGGTGGAGGTCCGCCTCTTTTCGACGGCTCGGTCAAACTTCGCCGATCTCTTCGCGCTTTAGTTGGTCCCCCTTGTCCACTCCATATTTATACCCTGCTGACAGGGCTCTTCTTTTCAAGCCACTAAAATGGGTAGATTGGTAATCGGCGCCATCCAACAATCATACAACGAAGTAAGCGAATCACTATTGCTTCTCCTCATCAGTCGAAATGAACACACGCAGTGATAGATATCGCGCTCCAGTCACATGTATGTCAAGGCTAGTGAACCAATAACCACTTCAAACTAGAGCTGCAGGCGTTCGCTTCAGGAGCCGCTCGGTCTCTCGCTATCTGGTGATTTTTGGATGCATATTTATATGTTAGATTAGATAGGATAGCATTATAGTATGAACTCCTCTCACACGTCCCGCACTAGCCCAAGAGCTCCAGCACGCTCCCTTGAGACGCAAGTGCCACCGCAGGTGTGTGAGGAAGGACGACTGATGTGAGATTGAAGAATAAGTGCTTTTGGGCGTTTTGATCGCTTTCGAACAAAGCTCGACGGATGCTTTAAGGGAATTTCGAGACGGCTGATTCTCATTTTGTGTAAGTGCAATGCACGCACACGCGCTTACAGAAGGCCATAAGGGAGATTTTGCAATCGTGAACTTCGTTTTCTTCTAAGATAAAGGATTCTAGTCCATTTTGAGCAAATCATATGAATGTCCGGGCTACTCGTAATCGAAATATCGTGCAAATGCTTTGAGCAAATGACTCTTTGTGACGATGCCTCTTTGGTGCTTATTTTCAAATTGTATCGCAAAATATGTGGACTTTTTCGGAGATTATTTCTACCAGGCACTATCTTTCACTTCAAGAAGTCTTTTAGTCAGTTCAGAATTTCTTATGGTAACGTCCAGCACGAAAGAGCGCACACTGCAGTGTTTTCAGAGCTTTCTTTGACAAAGAACATATATTTCTTTTCTAATTGGTAAGATGTCACTATTAATATTCAGGTGATATTTAGTCCTCCATATACAACTCGCTGATATAGAGAAATATTGTAGGGCCATATCGTGTCTCATTGGGTTACTTGCAGGAAAACACCACTCACCATGGCCTCTCCGTATATTGCTAGTGGATCTTTGTCACAAGAAGATCTTCACAGGATGTTATCACCTAGATTAGCCAGTGAGTTCAATGTAAACTGTTGTTTGGTATGTTTGTTGTGAAAACTGTGTGAAAAGTAATTTTTAGCGTTCTTGAGAGTTTTTACTGCAGTTGATGTTTTTTCATGCGAATACGCCGCTAAAGCATATGGCTATTTCCCAGACGAAGCTTTATGATGCTTGGCGCCAATATCATTTGCTCGGCCACTTCATCCACTTCGCTGATTGGTCATATCACTGATTTGACTCCATGAAGCGGCTAATGGATATCCGGTTTACTCGGTTATTTGGTATTCGGCACCCATTCACTATTGGTCAAATCACTGCATTCACCAATAGTGAATGGATGAAGCGGTCGGATAAGTTTGGCGCCTGCCTATGAAGCAAGTGCGAGCGTTGTAGCCGATTCGTTGACCGCACGAACTGGACATCACTGCGGAGCACACGCCGCGAGGTAAAACGCTTGCCCTAATACAAATTCGCCATTGTTCAAGTCGTGCTCTCGCAACATTTTAGCCGCACCGCGCTGGTCCGCAGCGTTTGAGCAGTCCGTGCGATCAATGAATCGCCGATACTCTGTTGGCATTATATCTGTGCAACGATTGAAGGCCTGAGAACAATTCATGATGATACTTTGCGGACCATAATTATGAGTGGCGTGGTGCGGACATAGACCTGACGCCAGTTAGGCCCTCCTCCGCGGACTACGGGTACTGAAACGACATGCAGTAACATTGCATAAGGACCGAAAACGCGAAGGCGGCCAAAAATGGCGGAGTTTGTTCCTACCCGATGCAAACTACAGCGGTGCGGACACGCAACATGACGAGTTTGGTCTGATCCGGACTGGTTTGAGACGGGTGGAGGACATTAGGTCGCCGAATTTGGAAGAGTCCCGCGCGGATTCCCTGCAGGAACGCATGTCCGCGCATGTACAAGGGTGCGTATTTGTCGCAAATGACCGCGGGGACCGCCCTTTTTCGGCGACCTAATGTCCTCCACCCATTTGAGACAGATTGTATATACTCTTAAGCACATAAGCCACTCTCTGAGCATTGACAGAAATGGACTGAGGTCTTACCCGGAGTAAAATAATTGGATATGAGTGAAATTGTGTTATGTCGTATTGAAGGAGATACTGGTTAAGTCGTGAAGTTAGCCGATACTGAGCGTGATCGAAGCATAATCATGATAGATGTGCGAAAGCGTGACCGTTTTATTAGACAATGTTCTCACAACTCAGGCGTCAGTACTACGAGGTGCTTGCGCGGAAGAGGCGTTTTAGCGCTTTTGAGCGAAGTCTAGCGGGAGCGCGAAGTCTAATGGGAACTCAGCAGAAGGTTTCTCCCTCCACTTCCGTCGTGCCTTTTTGATAGAGGGTGGAGGACAAGATTCTCCGAAAGGAGGCTCGCACGGAGTTGCAACCCACTCACATAACAAGCTCATATCGGTCGTCCGAGAGGGTCGACTCGTCGGTGACGCCACCGGTGGTCTTAGTTGTCATCTAAATGTGAAAGGTTGTAATAGCCAGAAGTAAAATGCACTAAGTGCTGCTTTGGTTTAATGCAATAGTTCGTGATATGAATACAAATGCCTGAACTTTTTTCAGAGTTGTCGGCTGAGCGGGATAGAGACCAAAACTCGCTTCGGAGTAGGCGCGTGTCTGGAGCTAGTTCGAATGCCGAGGATGTGGAGAGCTACGATGTCAGGAATCGCTCTTTGCCTGAACAGTTCAGAGGTATGCACCCTTTTCTCATCCGTTTTGCCCTATTCAGACAATGGCATCGGAAAGTTCGCGGCTTCAAAGCGTGTTACATGGCGCGCCGCGGCCCTTGAAATTTCAGCCGCGCACTCCGCGGCCCTTGTAAATTTTACCGGGAACGCAGCGGCCAAAGTTGAAATTGGGAAGAGATTATCGGGAGAGTCGCGGCTTAATCACCTCACTCGACGGGCCGCGGGTCTTATCAAAGGCCGTACTTCTTACACGCTGTAGGTTAAGGCGCAACCCGCGTGGGGTGATGTGATGGGGCTACCCACCGAGTTTGTGAGGCTCGGTAATCGCTTCTTGGGTTTGGTCCTGTTTGACAGTTAAGTTTTTATGGTTACGAAACAAACCTCAGCAGTCGGATGAGTGTTATCGACGACATTAGATGATGTCGACAAAAGCTATCAAGTTGCTCAATTTGCACTCAAGTCTTTGTCATGAAAGACAATTCAAAAATTCTTTCACTCTTTCAAGGCCTTACATGCATTCTAATCGGGCAACTATCGGGCGCTTACAGGATGCGCCGCGGTCACTTATTGGGTCCAATATCGGTTTATATCGGTTTATACCGGGCAGCTCGCGGCATGGATGATTGGTGGCCGAGCAAGCACCTGCGAACTTCACGATGCAGTTGTCTAAGATAGACTGACTTATTGGTAGACAAGAGCTGGGAACTGTAACGAATCGTCCTCAAGTACAATCTGCCCCAATCGGAATCAGGCCGAACCGCCGGCTGAATTTGCGCGCTCGCAACGCTAGGGGTCTGCGCTGCATACGCGCGCTGTCGCAGACAGCGAAGAGATTGAGGAGAGAGCAGACTGGCTAGCCTAGACGTGACGCAATACCCTCGCGACACGGGTTCCCGCCATGCCAATTTTGGCCTGGTTCGGCTTGGTGCAGACTGTACAGTCTCCCCCAATCCCAATCAGACTAAAATTGGCATGGCGGGAGTCCGCGTCGCTAGGGTTTCGCAGTCACACCCAATGCCTACACGATCTTTCAGCCTGAGTGTCACGGTCGAAGTGGCTCAGGTCTTCGCTAGCCGCCTCGCTTGGGTTTCTCACGTGGCACACTACCGCATCCTAAGGCATTCGCGGTATCGGATGCGGAGTGTATCACGTGAAAGATCCAAGCGAGGCGGCTCTTGAGGACTTAAACCACGTCGACCGTGACACTCGAATTGAAAGCCTCTGTACTTGTGTGCTCCCTCTTGATCTCCTCGCCTTCTCCAACAGCGTGCATATGCAGCGCAAACGCCTAGCGGTGCGAGCGCTCAATACGCCGACGTTTCGGCCTGATCCCGATTTGGGCAAACTACGTTACGCAATACCCTCGCGACACGGATACCCGCCATGCCAATTTTGGCCTGGTTAGGATTGGGGCAGACTGTACGTAGTATTTTGAGCAATGTGCAAGGTGGAGCACACAATCTATTTCGAGTCGTGATTTCTTTCTTCTTTCTTTCTGCGTGATTTTGCTAGAGCTTGTGCAAGTTAGAAAGGCCTAAGAGACTCGTTCACATCAATCCAATGAATCTGCAATGGCCAAGCATTGAAACACTGTGCCAGTAAAATGGGGACTGCTGGAATTTATAGTGCCACATAGGCTTTCCACTTAAAATGCTCAAAATCAGAGCGGAAAATGTAACATCTCAAGGCGTCTAATGTCTAGAGCTTGGGAATCGGCGCGAAAGTAGAACGGATTTCCCCTGCTGGTGCGGCATCCACCACTTCTGATAACCCAGGAGCATGCCGCACAAAACCTTTCCCATTTTTTACACGTGGCAGCCCAAACTTTACCGCGGGTCATCGAGGTAGTATATCATCCAAGTAAAGCCTCTGGGAACTCGTTGAGATCCATTCTATAGCGAAGTATTTTCTGTTGGCTTTCTCTACGCGATTCAAAGCCCGTATTTAGAAGTTCAAGTGTCCACAAAATGCGAAAAAAACTTTAGATTAATGGATGGATGAGCTGTTTTCTTGCCATAAGTCTAAAAATTCTGGAACATGTTTTTTGTGATCGTTGTGTTTGAGACTTGAAATCAAGAACTAGCTTTATAACCTGTAATCAATCCAAGAGCATGCTTTCTTACCATTATCCCTCCATTCTTCCCCCTGAAAAATTTTAAATTCGTCGCCGAGTGCCTAGCACAAAGCTTAATGCACATATAATTCACTTTTTCTTGAAACCGTTTGTATCGTTTGCGTTCAGATTTGGTGAGAGAGCTTAGCGATTACCTTTTGGATAGCACCTTTTTGGACTGTATCTTTGATGTGCATCGTGAAGCGGCTATACTACATCGTCATGGTTTGCAGATTGATAGCCCTCCTCCCACACCAAGTCATGAGGTTCCGTTAAGTTCCCATGTTTATTGTAGACTTGAAAAAAAAATTTTTTTTTCCGCAGAGCTCACCGCAGTCGAGTTCGGACACACCACGGTCGCGCCCACCAGAATCGAATACGCCGGTTTGTGGCTTTCAATTTCTTTGTCTACTCTATGTCTAACTAATATATAAAGGATCGTAACGCCAATTCAAAAAACATTGGACAGCGGGAAACCGCCTGCGGTAGCGCGCGGAGCAAATCGCAATTACTGGCTCACCAGTAGTAAACAAAATAGACCAAGCTATGTTGTATACATGGAGACAAGGGAAAGAAAACCGCCATTAGGTTCTTCTGATGGAAATTGCTGGTGCTTAAATGATGTGCGAAAGGACAGCACCCTATGGAAGCGGAGGTTGTCGGCAGAGTTTGTTCCACAATCCCTTGAAGGGTTGCTTAGATATTTCTTTTAACGCTTAAGCAAGTCGCAGTACATATACAATCTGCATTCATGGCGAACACCCTTTCTTAGTATATGTGACACGTTCGCTGGTGTATTATACGCAATTTCGCCAACTCTGGATTCATCCAACCTTCGTATTTAGCCGTAACAGCTTCAAATTTGTATTTACTGAAAATGTGAAGCTTACACTCGCAAACGTGATGCAAGACCGCCACAAAGCGCACGCGAGCTGCTATTTCACTATTGACACAAACTGTACACTTTCATCTGGCAGCAAAACTCAGTCATTTTCAAGCGACATCTTGGCAAAAGTAGTAAGCAAAACAGTGAATGGCTCAAGGCTCAGATCGCATTTTTGATAGAGAATTAGATGCATGTCAGGTATTGATGGAACCTTGCCTTACCTAACCTAACCCACTAGGCTTCATATGGCAACTATTTTGTAGCGTTAGTAGAAATTTCGTCAGTCTCCGTACTTTTTGTCTCTGTATTTACCAGTTGTTTTCTTCATAGAGACCTCGGTCACATGAGTGTTGCTGTTTCAACTGCTCCTTTATATGTGCCCACATGAGTTGGCGTAGTGTTTCAGCTGACCAAAACTTTATCTGAATGTAGACAAGTACAGAGAAGAGTTTGATTTCTCAGTCTGTTGTGTTATGACTTTACAAAAAGGAAACTTTGCAATGTCAAAACGTCACTGATGACGAGAATATAATGTAGTCACTTTAGCTGTTCCAGATCACAGTCAAATGCCGCGTATGTGGGCGAATGGTTGGTGCCAAAGTTTTCGAGAAACATATAATCAACTGCAGAAAACTGGATGGTAGTCGCAGCAGCTCTAGGTACCGTTCCACTTTTCAATTTATACAATTCTTGGCTTTATGTAGCTATTTCAAGAGCGGCGGCTAAGAAGATAGCGGAACAAGAGTTAATTTCTGAGAGCGCGTTCAACGACGAGGACTTTATTGTAAGTTCAGTGTGCAAACTCTTTTATTCTATTCCGATATTCTTACGATAACCTTCCTTCATTGTAGAACGCGAGTGGGCATAGATTTATCGAGGTTTATGTGGTCATATATTTTTTATTATCCAAACACAAATACAGACGTTTTTTGCAAGCACGGGGGGCGAACAGAAGTGTTTTCAACGCGTTTTTTTTTTGAATGATTCGTATGTAGAAGCTAGCTTACACCTTGATGTATGGTAAGTAATGAGGTTCTGAAGCGAGCTTTTGCTATGCTTATGTCGGAATCTTGCACATACTTCTTCTCGTTTTGCAACTCTCGGACGTACTGAGTCCGGATTGTGCGAATAAATCATTATCGTCTCCTGAGTGGGTGGATTAATGATGCCAGAAGTCATCCAACCGCAATCAACATGGCTTAAGCTAGCTATCATTTTTCAAGTCCAATGATTTAGGTAGTTCGACATTTTTTCATTTGATAGACAGTTGGGATTGGCAATGGCAGAGATTCAAGAATGTATTCAATCCATTTTTGCTTCTTCCTTCATGATATAACATTAGAGGCGCTGCAGGAGGGCTCTCACTGCTTCTCAAGACATTCATATCACGTTGAAAGTAGGCTTTGATTTGCTTGCTCTAATTAATGATGCGTGTAGAAAGGCATGATCTGAGGCGCGTAGTTTTGAGAATTTATCAACGTCGTGGGTATTTTAACGCAGTAAATGTTGATTCAGAGCCCATTGCCAGTACCCGCATCTTCTGGCGACGACGAAGAATGGAACGCACCTAGAAAAAGAAGAAGAACGAGGAGACGGAAGTTATGACATGTTTCTAGCTAATCCTAGAGCTTTTTATATCAGTGAATTCCATTATTTCATCTTATAGAGAAATTGCCCAGTTTCATATGCTGACTTTCTACGTGTACAGTCTCCGATTATGAGTAGCTGGTTCACGTGTGACGTTTAATGCGCGGTTGTGTATTGGTATTGGTTCATCTGTCTTTCTTCGCTGTAGCGTTGAGCTTCACACCTCAACCGCTTTGCCTCCGTCTTTTCATGAAAATAGGAATCATTCTCATTCTAGTATCTTATATGTGGTGTCCTAATGGCTTAATGCTCCTACCTACGGGTGAATAGGTCTATCCCTCTTGCTTTTCAGAATGATTGTATATTTTTAATTTTGTCACTCAGGTCAACTCGGTACACATTAAATTGTGATGAGTCAGGTTATAAAGTGTAAGTTGTTGCTAAGAAAATCATAGAAATGCTTACGAACTATTGCTAAGTTATAATGATTTCAAGTCGTTTTGAGACGTAGACATGCTGAAAAGTATGTGGCTGCTTCTTTTTCTGGAAAGTACAATCTGTGAGTTTTCGACTTCTACATTAAAAATGCATCCAAATCAGATTTTTCGCGTCAACTCATCCTGCGCGGTAATGCGTATGAATTCCCTTCGAATTCTCCGGTTGTGTTCCGCGTAACCGAAAACAGCTGTGCGATTGGATTTCGCTGCGCAGCCGCCGTTATAATCACAGGTGGTGGGGAGCGCGGCAATCAGCGGGGAACAGCCAAAATGCTAACTTGAGGCCAGCATTTCGACAGTTTGAGGCACGAATTTTCTATGTGATTTGCGCGAGCTTCAACTACGCTGTTGCCTTAAGTTTTATTCTACGATATGTCGTCTACGGCAGAAAGTTTTCACGAACACTCTGATTCGGTGGTTCTTTCCATGAATTTTCTAGGTGCATTGATCCTGGCTCAGAATCGTTTTGCCCGCGTAAAGAATGGTCAGGCCAAGTGGGCCAGAGGCAACGACTGAAAAGAGCATGGGCGGCTTTGCAAGAATACATTCTGCCCCAATCTCAACCAGGTCAAAATTGGCATGGCGGGAGTCCGTGTCGCGAGGGTCTTGCGTCACTTTTACGGCGAGCTAGCCTGCTCTCTCCTCAATCTCTTCGTTCTCTGCGCGCGCGTATGCAGCGCAAACCCCTAGCGCTGCGGGCGCGCAAATTCAGCCGACGGTTCGGCCTGATCCCGATTGGGGCAGACTGTATTCACTCATGGTGTCTTGCATCATTTGAGGGACGTGGACTGAAGCGTAGTTTTATTTTTCGCTTACTAATTATATTGACCGAGTAATTCATTTGCCAATACACTATCTCAAAGGAGACGTTCCATTGTAACATCCGATTGATGAAATTACGATGAAGTATTGAGACGATGTTCGCAAACCTATCGTTTTTTGGGACACGGTCGAAAGGCGCGTATTGATCGGCTGTCAATATAGTTAAAATAAGCAGAAGAAAGGTTCAAATTTAGTTTTCTTCTTTTGGATTTTAGGTTCTCCCATAAGTTCCGTCCGTTCTGATTTTCAATCGCAATAAGTCTTGTCTTAATTCTAGATATGTTTCAAGGTACGGTTAATTAGAGCAAAGCAAGCTCTACAAGATGGTGTTCTTGCGAGGTTGAAGCAAAAGCTAAAAAAAGTCAACCGCTTGAGAGATAGAGGAAAAATTGTAACTCGGTCCAGTAACTCCTAGAACAAATTCGCTCAAAGATACATTATCCATATCAGACATTTATATATACTGTTGCCGTATTTTTTTAGGTAGAAATTAAGAAAACGAAAATTCTCAATTTTGCGAAAATGATGCTGTGCTGTTCCCACATCGGTAGTTGTATATTACTTGACCAGTGGAAGTATCGTCCCCTCCTCAGATCGCGCTGCCCTTGTGGCGTCGCGGACGTGCCACGTTTAACTAACACGATGACAACGTTGGCAGCAACACGTTGGCAACATGCAGCAACATGTCTTCGTGGCCAAATGTTCTGCCAACATGTTGGGGCATGTTGCAAACATGTTGTTGCCACGTTGCCAATATGTTATCACACGTGGCAGGTCTGAGACGCAGACCAAGGGTAGCACGATCTGTGGAGGGGACTATACATCATGAATTTTTAGCGCTCTACAGGCTTTAGTTCGCTAGCAACATCGAATTTAGCTTCGCTAAGTCGGGTGTCCCATACTATTAGGGTGATCGGTAAAAAATGGGGCACCTAGAGAATAAACGTAGATTTATTTATTTATTTGTGCATAGGGATGCCCCTATGAAAAAAGAAAAGAAACAAACAACAACAACAAAAACAAAACAGTCAACACCAGCACCTAAGCAAAAAAGGTGTTAGTGTGTTTCCAGGTAGCCTCTCCGAAGTTTTTTGAACATTGCGAGTTTAGCCACGAACATTCTCTTCCTCAAAAGCATCTATACATCATGTGCCACTCGGCACGTGAAAAAGTATCTTCTGACATTTCGCCTAGCCTTTGGTAACACAAGCTTTCTAAGTATATCTCTAGTATTCGAGCATCTAGTCACAAAAAAGTTACTCAAATCAAGCTTGAATGTTCCAAATATTATTTTGTGCACCGTGATAAGATCGAATTTCTTTCTTCTATAAGCAAGACCTGAGAGTCCAAGATTTGCATTACGGACTTGACTGCATGGTATTCGATCATAATTGAAACCAACCGTCCTAATCAGTAACTTTCTTGTGAAACTATTTTGTACTTTCTCCAAGTAGTTGATTGCCTTATGGGTATGTGGACTATAAATGACGGTACCATATTCCAACATTGGTCTAATAAAGGTCTTGTAAGCCTTCAAAAGAATATTAGGATGTGTACATGTCAATCCTCTGTACAAATTGTAAATTGCCACCGTAGTTTTGTCTGCAATTACTTTACAATGCTCATCAAACGAAAGACTACTTGTGACCAGAAACCCCAAGTCTCTAATTGAGTCAACAGCTGCAAGTGGGCTACCTCCTAAACTGTAGGGATGTCTTATATTACTGGAACCTAAGTGCAGTATTTTTGTTTTTTCTTTGCAGACCACATATTAGTGACCAATCAAGCACCTCATCCAATGCATCTTGTAATTGTTTATGTCCAACGTCATCATTTACAGCATTGTAGAGCTTGACATCATCCGCGAATGCGCTGCAAGAGACTCCTTTAGATAATGGTATGCGCAAAAGCTCATGAGTGAAGATGTTGAAAAGAATAGGCGAAAGAACACCCCCCCCCCTGTGGAACCCCACACAGCATACTTCTAGGGGAAGAAAACGTGCGATTGACATGGACCATGAATGTCCTCTCCCTCAAGAAAGCTTCAATCCAAGCTACAATCCGTGGATGTATTCCTACGGCTAGAAGTTTGAAAATCAACTTACTGTGAGGGACTTTGTCAAACGCTTTCGTAAAATGTAAATAAATCACGTCAATACTCTGACCTTTATCTAATTGTATTGTCCAATCATTGACAGCTTGTAGCATAGCGGTAACAGTAGATTTACTGCTTTGAAACCCGTGCTGCTCACTTGCTATTACCTTGTAAGTCTCTAAATGCTTTACTATATGCCTTTTCAATATTTTCTTAAATAGACTAGCGAAAATAGACGTTATGCTAACTGGTCGATAGTTTTCTGGACTAGTAAGAGGCTTTTTCTTAGGAAAAGGTCTGACAAAAGACACACGCCAGCGATCCGGAATTTCTGCGCGCATCATGCTCAAATTGAAAATGTATTGAAGCGGCCCACTCAGTATATCTGCTATTGGTTTGATGAAACGTAATTATACGAAATCAGGTGTGATTGAAGTTGACTTAGGCCACTTCATCAGTATTTGATGGATGAACCATACTCCATCAGTCATACTTTGGTAACTTGGAGCACTTTCAATTTCACTTTCATCGTTCTCTTCAACAAATGTTTTAGCGAAAAAGTCTGCAAAATATTCCACTTTATCTCCATCATTGCATATAACTTCCCCACTATCTCTCTGCAAAACTCCCAGCTCTCTTCTACCTTTGAGTCTCGAATTGATCAGTTTATAAAACGCTGATCTCTCTCCAGATTCAATTACTCTTCTCTCAACAGAAACATTATATTTTTTAAGCAATTTGGTAAATTTGTTATTCAATCTACAAAATTTGTCATAGTCTCTAGTATTTTTACTAGTAGCTGCCAACTTCCATGCTTGTTCCCTCATTTGATAAAATCTTCGAAGGTGAGGTATTTTCACAGTCCGGAAAGAACTCTCTGCCAAGGGAACCCAGCTCTTAATAGTATGATAAAGTATATTGAGAAACATTTCATACATTTCATTGACTGTGAAAACAGTTCTGAATGAACCGTTCCAGTCTACGCCATTAAGATGCTGTCTCACTCCATCTAGATCCATTTTTTCGAAATCCCTGTACATAACATACCCCGCATCTTGTGAATTATAATGATTCACCCGAAAACAAACTGAAGCATGATCACTTTTCCCAGGGGGAGGGGTCCACACTTATATCTCTCAACACATCCTCATCATTTGTGAAAATGAGGTCCAATACGTGTTGAAGCGTATGTGACCCCACTTTCTGAGTTAAACAGTGAAGCATACACATTTGAATGAAGTCCTTAGCAGCGAGTGAAACATCTTTCGATTTGGAGGGGTCTGCCCAATTCACATTTGGAAAGTTGAAGTCTCCCATGAGAATGGTGCCTTTGGAACAAGCCAGTAAGTCTGTGAGGGCTCTTATTAACTGTTCGGTGCCAGCTGGGGGACAAGAGGGTGTACGGTAGACCAAAATCAATCTTAAACTAGTGTGGGAGATAACATCACAACATAGTAATTCATAACTTTCCAGTACAGACTCTCCAAACACAAGAAATGAATCAAACTTCTTATTCACAGCCAAGAGTACCCCCTCCTCCTCTCTTACCTACGCGATCGCATCTGTACAATTCATAGTCCTTGATCAAGTTGCCAAAAAGGGAGGCATCTAGTACAGTATCACTTAACCAAGTTTCAGTAATTGCCGCAATGGATGAGTCGCAATTCTCCATGACAAACTTAAGGTGATCTATGTTATTACAAAGAGAACGTGCATTGGCTAATATACAGTTTGAGAGGCTACCACCAATCCGAGGAGTCAATGGGCATTTAAAGAATTTGATCTCGGCGTGCTACGATCAACTCGCTGAGACAAAGCATTTTGATCAATGCAATTGACGTCATTTGTTAGTATCGATTGATGATCTGAACTCCTTGTGTTGAACCGCATGCTCCTCTCCTTACGCATCCTGTCTCTCTCTTCCTTTGAAAGAGATCGACGGATGAAGATATTTGGTTTGTAAGGGAAGTATTTTAATTTAGGAGCTCTTTCCAGCACAAGGTCAACAAAGAATCTAGTAGGCAACACCACTTTCATTAGTCTGTTAAAATTCGTTTGGGGTTTTCCCATTCTATAAACTGTCAATGGCCTACACTCAATTGAAAGAAAATCGAGAATTTGATCAACACATTGATAATCATGATTGATTCTCATCCAGCTACTCGGTGCACGATTTTCTGGTACGCCACTAATCACTAGAGAATGCAGTCTTTTGCGCTCATCACAAGTGCAGAGTTTTGCAGACGTCGAAGTAGAAGAGAATTGGGTGACTTATTCGGGCTCCGTAGACGTGCGCTCAATAAGTGATCTCAATGGATCGTTTTCTTCGCGAAGAGATTCGATTTTGTCAGACATATTTTTAATCTGACACACCAACTAACGATTTTGCTCCGCTGCAACTCGCACAACTTCCGATTCTCCAATAAAAAGGCAAGAATTGTTCGTGCATAGACTGGTACCGTTTCGTCCTTCAGTAGTTCCTCGGCTGCCTGGTCGAACTTGGGCGGCGTCGCTTCGAACTCGATCCTTCGCTTTTTCTGCGGGGCGAGCGGGTACATTGGGGTCTCAGAAGTCATCAGCACCGAATAATAGTCGAACAGGAGAAGGGGAATCCTCAGAAGTCGAAAAGGCGGTTGAGGTACGTGGCGGGGGCAGAGCGGGCACACGATCGACCGCTCAGTGCCGGGTCAATGGGAGTTTGGTGGATTTCTCAAAAAAGAAAAGTGATTTAACTTCCCAATTGTGGCAAGTGTTAGAATAAATTATTCTCTTTCAGAAAATACCTATACAAGGTCATTTACATGCCTAATAATTTTTATAGTGGCTGAAATGCAAAGTTAGTCACTTTGACAAATTATAAACTTCGGGCAGTATCTGCGCAGTGAAACATGCGAAACCTTCCAAAGTACTACTGCTGCAATGCGTGAAGGTACAGTCACCAGATCCATGATGAATTGCTGGCCTCAGCTTTCAAATTCAGGAGATATGACCATTAGCAGCTTTGAGAACAAAGATACGTGCTATTCAATTCTTTGCAGGTGAACGCAAGTTTTATAGGTACATTCTGAAAGAGCTTTTTGCGCTCTATCCATCCATATGCAGCTTACCTCTCACTTTATCTATCTTCGGAAAATACAGATTGAAATTTGATTTATTGGTTTTTGTTGCGCCAAAAAATCGCGATTTTTTAGGTATTTCGCCTTTTTTACCCAGAAGTAGAAAATAATCCTGTATGTTTAGTATACTGTTTGAAAGAGCATGAAGACCTCTTTCGAATGGTTTACTGGTCAATTGCTCTATAACTTTACGGTATGACAGCGCAAGAATGAACGATGTTCAAAAAACCCTGTTCCCGTTCTTCAGGGCGCCACGCGTAGGGTTGTGGGAGAGGGGCGTTGACGCTTTGCCAGAATAATAGGCGAAGGTCGCTTATATAAGCGACGTTTACGTTGCAGCCTACTTGTTATTGATCGAAACAAAAAATTTCAAAATCTAATAAAAATCAAGCTGCCCCATTTTTTACCGATCACCCTAATAAAAATGAATAGTTCTCGAGAACTAAAGTCTGTAGAGCTCTGCAAATTCATGCCTGTACTTTCATGGTCAGTAGTATACAATGACCGATGTGGAAGAGCACAGCAGCTTGGGCAAAAACATGGAAATTTTCGTTTTCTTGACTTCTATTATGGAAAAACACGGCAACAGTATACATATAAATGTCTGATTTGGATAGTGTATCTGTGAGCAAGTTAGGAATTTCTTAGGATTTTTCTGGACGGAGTTACGATCTTTTCTCTTTTTCGGGCCTTAGTTTTTTGGCTTTAAACTCGAGATGGATTTGGTCTGGTGCGAAAACTAGAACAAATACGCCGATAACCTACGTAACACATTTAAGAATTTGAAAAAAAAAACGTACAGATCTTCAATTTTTTGCCCGAGTCAGCGTAACATCATTGAATAAAATTTGGATTACATTGGCGTGTTGTGGAATTTCATCACAAATGGCAATCAACGCAAAGATAGCGGTGCTGATCTTTTAAGCCTCACCTAATTGGAACGCTCCCTATCGTTAAACGTAAATGCATCCGTCCCTTCCCTTTTCTGATCTGCTGAGTACCCCTACATCTGCAATCATTCAAAATGTCTTTCAATTCATCTGACACCCCTTCTTCGCTATATTCACTGGTAGATGAACACGCTGGTGGTTTGCTTGCTCCATGGATCAAATATTCGCGCTCATCTGGCGATTATAGTATCCTGGAGGAGTACCTCGACACTGCAGTAAGCCCTTTTCAGAATTGCCAATCTCTAGTTTATTCATTTCTATCTCTGTGGTTCATATCTGCTCCCACCTAGAGATTTCGATTGTTAAAATGTTAATTAATCCAAGACATCATGAGCATATATTTTTTGGAAACTGTGATCAACTACTTCTAACACATTTTAAGACAGTCCATGCTTTTTGGAACTCCGAAGCATACTATCATCATTTAGATAGATATTTTCGACTTTTAGTTCATTTCTGGAACACAGCTTGAATTTTTTTCTCATTAACAAGTTTTGTTTCTCATTACCACCATGTGCAGCACGCGGGCTTATCGGATCTGCTTCAATTTCACAGTGATTGCCTTTTCAATGATATTTCAACATGCTCTATGAAGCTGTGCCGCCGCTATTTGTTTTAAGAGGTACGAAAAATCAAGCAACTGTCAGCATGCGGCAATGCGAACACGTGCAACGTCGCAGCTTTTATTTGTTTTGATTTCCAAAAGAAAAACATTGATTAACCTTTGATCAACTGGCTTGGCGGCTGGAAGGCGGGACTTTGTGACCCAATTAAGGCGCCCGCGAGTAGTCTGCGTTTCTCCCGCGCGCGTGCTGTCTGATCATTACCTAGCCTTAGTCGGGTCATGAAGCTTCCCCTTCGAGCCGCAAAGCCAGTTAAAAAGGGTATAAACCGATGTGTACCGTGTGCGACATGAGCGGATTTGGTTATCATTCGATATCGAGGTTTTTTTTTGTCTTCCAAGAAAACACAGCTGTCGACAAAATTCAAAGATTTCAACTTCATACCCTTTGGGTATGAAGCTTATTTGGCACGATGATCACGAATATAGAGCTTATTCCAGAAAATGATGTCCATTTGTTGATTAGCGCAGTCCATACTTTTTTGCCATGAGCGATTTCGCGTCCGAAAGATGTTACAGACATTGATCGATATCCATTTCACAATTAAGCAAAAGTCCACTACCTTAAAGCTGCATCATCTCAGTAGCTCACTTTTAAACCAACGCTACCAAAGACTTGCTACGGCGAGCTCTGCACTAATATCAAGTGATCCAGGGTTCGTGCGTTGCAAAGTAACCTATAGCAGTAGCTACAAATAAGCTGGTGTTTAAAGGCAGCGTCCGAGCAGATTTGGACATTTTCGATAATGTCATAAGCGAGTGCTGGGGTTCTGATCTAAAACTATCGCGCAAATCCGACTTTCAAACACTATCTGTAAAAGGAGAATTTGGCTCAGAAAAAGAAAACGCCGAGCCTTGAGGACCACGCCCACTCCCTCGCACGGCCCGCCTCAACGAACTATCCTCAGCCCTTGACATGTTTTCACGTGGCAAACACAATATAACACATAGTGTCTACCTGTTAATGCTTGCTTTCGACAAGGGTAGCACCAAGTGCACTTGTCTACGGTATTCACTAGATTGTCTCAAAAAGAGGGTTTTTTGAGAAAATCACGCATTTGAGTGCAATACTTGGAGTCAGCGTCATGAAAAGGCCTGGATAAGGCAAAAAAAAGCAGTCGAGATTTTGCTTGGACGCTGCCTTTAAGTCGCGACACGCTTTGAAAAGGCATGTTTCTTGCAGAAAAGTTAGGATTTGTAGAATGGAATTTCTTTTGGTAGTTCTCATCTTCATCTCAAAAATATCATTACATGGCAGTGCGGCGCCATCTCGTTTTATTCACATTTTAGCTCACTAGCCACCGTATGGTCTAAAGCGAAGTTCATTTCGACCTGGCAGACATTCTTGCAGTTTTGTCTATTGTTTCATTAGCCTTTCGAGCTTGATTGCTAGCTTTGATATCTCTCACCGAATATCGTTTCTACAACTTTTCATATGTTTGTAGAAGAGGGGTCCACATCTTATATTAGATTGTTTCGTAATTGAAGGAAGTTTTTGAAGTTCGTCTATTACGCAGAACTTTTTCCTGAAGCAATTCTATTGAACGCAATGAAAACTGTCGCAAGGTAAAGCTTTGATTATAAAGCACGAACTTTTTTTTATAACTATACCCACTATGAGGAATATCTTTAGTCCAAGGATTGCCAGAAAATTTAAAAGAAATCATACTTAAGAGAGAGTATAACTTAGACATAAATGTACTAGAGTGGCGAGATTACGTTTATTATATAGCTGATTACAGCAGTGCAGTAGAGTTTGTTTACAGAATTTTATCTGCTAGGTAATATTGAAAAAAAAAACGATGATAGCCATTTTTCTAAGCACGTTGGGGAAGGCAAAGATTCGGCTTTTCTGATATTTTTCAATTCTTCTTCGCTGGATGGTGAGAAATATTTTCGGGTCTATCTGGGTTAAGTGCAAAAACTTTGCAATCGCTTATTTCCTAAAATTCTTAAGAAGGATCCCAACAACCACTCAAGTTTGCCATGAATTACAGCAGATTTTTCAGAGTTCACAGAGAGGGGGGGGGGAGTATGCTTTTACGGAAAAGTGGGGGGGGGGGGGGAGCAGGGAACTGGTGGTGTATGTCAAGAGGCGCGATTTTTATTGCCAGCTGGACACCAAATAGCACATAATAAGTGTTCTGCAAGTTTCTAAAAGTATATGATATTTAAAAGACGATATATAGATAGTTGCGCAAGTTGTCAATCTTGATACTCTAGAAAAAATTCAAAAGAGCAATTTTGAAGGTCAAAAACTCATGAAAATGCATTTCAGAACAAATTCGTAAATATTTCAGTCCGATTAATAGCAAAAACATGAAACTCAGAAAGTGGTGACCTCAGACAGATAGTAAGCTAATGCACTTTATCTGGTAATTTTTGAAGACTCGCATAGCACTAAACCGAAGTTTTAAGTTGATGACAGCCAGGGGAGTCGCGCCTCTTGACCGTCTCCCGGGAACTGGGGAAGTGGGGCACGGACAATTTATGTATGTTGTACAGATATGAGAATGGTGACCTTTAATAAAGTGAGTTGACAACCAGGTGTGCCGGGTATGCCAGCTAGTGCTTCTAGAAAGATTCGTTCTGGAATGTATCCGGGTTTTTCTCAAATATCCATGCAATCTTCAAATGTGGACAATCATTTGCTTAGTACTTGTGCAATCCGAAACAAATGAAATTGGTGGGAAAAAACGGCACCACTCTTTCTTCATTTGTCGCGACATTTCCAGACGCTCAAAAAATCTTCGTGTCTTAATTCGATTATCAGTTGTAACATACTTTATTGTGTCAAATAGAAACACGATCGAAGCCAATGATTTCGTAGCGCCCTTTGACGCTCACAGATTGAGGGTCACTTTACTATTGAGTTGTTTATCACAAATATCAGAGTGAAATGGTGATTTATTTTTGAGTATTTCGTTTATAGGTCAAGTCTTATCTGTACAATGGAGGAAAGGGAAAGCTTGTCTCAATTTCTGAGCTAGTAAAAAGAAGAAACAAGCAGGTTTGTTGACTTATCTATTTCTTGACCGCGATAAATGCGTTGTAGACTAGGTGGAAGGAATTTTAATGAATTTAGAGAAATGCACAGCTTGGTGCGTTACGGAGAAAGAAGGGCAGAGGCAAAAGTGGACCTAACATACTGGATGACATCAATCAGGACATCTTGGATGCTGGAGATTTTCTCAAAGGTGAACAAAATTCTGAAATAAAGATCGAGTCGTTTTGCTTGTCTGTTCTAGACTATTTTCAGCCTTGAAAATTCTTGACGGTGCGAGTATGCGAGGCATGAGAGCATTCAAATACAGGGAACTTGTGTGGGATATCGAACAGCGAGGTGTTTTCATTGTTAGTTTGCTGAAAAAAATGACAAATGTCACCAATCTAGGCAAGATGGGTGAGAACCTACTGCATATCTGTGTACTGCATAACACTGCTGATATGAACGATCTCGCGAAGCAAATCGTGATCCGTTTTCCAAAGATCATCAATGACATTTTCATCTCCGAGGATTACTATGGTAATTCATGGTTATCTCGTAGCTCCAGCTTTTCATGGGTTATCTCATAGCTCCAGCTTTCCATATAAGTCTTATTTAGGACTTTCTCCTCTCCATCAAGCAATAGTGAATGAAGATGTTGAAATGGTTTACTTCTTATGCAAGAAAGGGGCCGATGTGCATCAGCGGTGACTCTTTAATTTCCATTAACACGACCCGGAATACAAAATGATGCATAACAAATTGCTCTGCTTTCCAAATTGAGGGATTTCTTCATGGTCACGATGAGAAAAGCCTTTTTTCACTGTCTTCTCTCATGTGTTTGTTGTTTTTCGACCAAGATTGATTGATACTTCATGTTGAGAAAAAACCTCAAATTCTCCTCGGCGAGATGACTTTGTATCACGTTGAAAAACTTGTTGAACCTCCATTTTAAAGCATTAGTTTTTCTACTCTCTCGGTATCAAAAACTGTCACGCGGGATAAGTTGGCAAACGTCGGCAAAGCTCCGCCCGCTATACTGTGGGGAACAGACGATATGTTAGAGTTCTGCGGAGTAGGGAAGTATTATATGATGCATTCACTTTACGACCGATGTCCTGCCGTGTACCTACAGTACTTCCGGAAATTGCGTAATGTGCACGCCAAAATATTTGTCATCTCAGTCTACATATGATTTTTTCCTTAATCAAACTTCCCCTTTGAAGAAGTCGCGGAATTAGAAGGTAAAAGGAAGAGATTAGATATTTGAATGCCAATTTTTTTAGCTGCTATGGTTCCTTCTTTTGCGCTGATGATCAGAAAGCATCTCGAACGGATTCATTGGAGCATGAATGGGTGGATCTTGTGGAGAATACGAGATACACTGGGTATATAGGGCTGTGAACTTGATTTTTGTTTTAATTCATGATTTCAGTCAGATGTACTGGGGTGAGCTGCCGCTTTCATTTGCTGCTTGCACTAACAATCAGGTAAAGTTATGGCTTACGGTATAGTTTGTCAAAATCTCGGAAAATCTACTTGGAAATCCAACCCGAATTTACCATCTTGTATGAAGGACTTCATGTCACTAATAGGTTCCTCCTGCGCGGACATCTGCCACGAACCAAACATCCTCGTAATTACAGTGCCAATTGCCCGCACTGATGAAGCCCAACGATGGCATAATCTCAGTAATCTATCGTTCTTAAAATGTCCTGATAGAGAACTTAGCACCCGCTAACGGCAAAAACGGTCATTCATACGGTATGGGCTAATCCAGACGAAGGTGGTTGCCGAGCAAGGAGCCCGCGAACAGCGATAGCTTCTATAATGGAAGAAATTCGATTACTGAGTTCGAACGCTTCGCTCATTTGACCATCCAGGGACTAGCCCTTATAGGCGGTTCCAATCTGAGCGCCATTGTCGATGCAGCTGTGTTCCTCGCGGGCTGCCTCGCTTGGGTCTCTCGGCACGTTCAGCCTCGGTAATTTTCCGCGCTTGAGGCTCAGGGCTCGGCGCGAGGTGGCTTCTCGAATTTGCAAAAACTTGAGTCCCCTTTGAATCCACAATGAAAGTACGACATTCGCCATGAGATTTTACAAGGGAAAACACATACAAACACGGAACAAAGCAAAACAAAAAAGCCAAAGAAGCATCAAACAAACCCAATGATATTTGTATTCTCCGGCACAATGTATCCAACGCGCAGCACTACGCGCCTGGAGCAGCGTTACCGCCGTCATTAAAATTTTCCAAGGACTGTAACTAAGCGGGGAAGAAAGGGCTCGAGGCGGTTCAGGGACCAATTTGTAGGGCTGGGATAAGGTTAAAAAAATCAAATGAGGGAAAATTTATGACTTTTTTCACGAGTACCTCAGGTGGGTTCCAGGTGTCTTGAAAGCCACCTGACCCCGAAAAAAGTTGGGGACGCCTCCAGCTCACATAATTTTTTTCGTAATTTTTCACGCATACCTAACACGCACTGCGCGCACACCAATTTTATTGCCATTTCATTTTCACTTCGCTGTAAACAAGCCCTGTGTTTGTTTGGGAGAGCATGCCGCATGCCGGCAGCGGCACGCAGACGCTATATCGAAAGACAGCAGTGTGCTATTCCGCAAAAACGATTTCCTCTTTGCTTTTTCTTCCAGAAACAATATCCAGCTTGCTTGGTAAGCCACCTGTGCCGTCCCTTGTTGAGGCGTGGGAAGTACGTATTCTTGAGCACCAATGGCTGATAAACTTGGAAAAATGCCTCGAGATAGGTTCGGGAACGCGTTGAGTGGTCCAAGCGAGGACGCTCGCGAGGATCTCAGCCGTGCGATCGTGACATGACACTTCTTGAATTCCCCTGTATAGGCTGCTGTATGGGAAGGCGCAGTTTTTTTTTTGGGAACGCGGTTTTATCAACCGCAGAGCACATGAGGCGCAGGGATTGCAACAGTGAAGACATGCGCGCGCAGATTTGCGCCCGCGCGAGTAATACTGCTTCTGCGCCTTCCTGTTGCCTGCAAATGCACACAATTGACTTTCTTGCTCTGTTTATGAAGAACCGCTTTATAGGACTGCTTCCGACTGCTCAGAGCTTTCAAAGCCGATCCCAACATGACAGACACTAATGGAAATGCTGTAGTACATATGACCGTCATACATGATCTACCTGTATGTTACCGTACCCCTATGATCAAACTCTCTCAATCGCAATTTTTAGGAAATGTTCAGCTTGGCATATAGCAGCGGAGCATCGCTGAGCTTGCGGAATAATTTGGAGCTGACTCCTTTGGCACTAGCAGCACGTTTGGCTAACAAAAGGGTATTCTGACCACCTAAACAAGCCCAACCAGTTAGCTCTCATTCCAGATGTTCTCTCTGATTCTTGAAAGTGAAATGGATATTGTCTGGAGATATGGAGATATTGTCTGCAAAGCATATCCACTGCTGGAGATTGACACCATCAGGGAAGAAGATGGAGGACTGAATCCAAATTCTGTTCTTGCCAATGTTGTCTATGGGGTAATTCGTATCCGAGAGTATTTCGTGTTTGAAGCTCTGTAGCATATTCTATTCAAGGGTAAAAGCAGCCATCTCGAATTTTTCGATGGACTGTTGGAGGAATTGCTTGAGAGGAAGTGGGAGACATTCGCAAAACGGAGGTCACTCTTTTCACTAACAAAAAATTAGACTTACATATGAAGTCAAGTTCGCTCTTGCAACCACGGTTGTTGTTAGTGCTTTTGAACCTGCTAGAATAATTGTCTTTGAATCCAGAATGCTGTCAAGTGAGCAGCGATTATTTTGCCTCATCATAAACAAAAAGGCATGTTTCTAGCTGTTTGGAAGCGTAAATTATCTGCGATAGGTTCGCTCTGCGTAGGGGTTCTACTGAATCAAATCAGTTTCTTTAAGCTACAAGTCGCTCACATATCAAGTGAATTTCGCCTGTTTTCCGGGCTATTCGCTTTGCATACTGCTCTCCTCTGAACTGAATTATTGCCGAGTTTATTTAGTGCCCTTGAAAAATTTTACATTTTTGTTTTTGGAAAAGATCAATCTCTTTAAAAGTTTGTGGATATTTAGAAGCAAATTGCCTACATTATTTTGCATAGCACTAAACCCAACTTTCTTGGATTCCAAGCCTGCATTTGCACTATTTTTATGCTCCCAAAGGGGTCTATGATTCATGTCAAAATTTGTCCCCCAAAAGAATAAACTACTTTTCAGGCTTTTCCAATCGCTCTTCGGTTATCTATTTTTTCTGCTCGTATTCTATATAGCATTCATGACCCGCGATGTATACGAATCGGTTTGTTTGCACGGTGTTGAACAACACTGCTTGCTTTGAGTGCTACTCAAGAAGAAGTGAACCGACATTTTCCTTATTTCAGTATCTGCCGGACAATGAAATCGCATCCGCAAACAGCTCCAACCATGTTATCGTGACAGTGCAACATTTGTCGTATCTCGACAGTGGACGCTACGAAATGTTACAAGGACAGTGCCATCTCTGGAAGTACTCAGGCAGCTGGAAACGACTGGTAAGTTCTAGCGCCACCTGCTTACCAAGTGAATTGGTCAGGCAATTTGTCATCAAAGAGACAACGGTTCAAGAATCTGCTATGAGTTTTCCAAAATTCCAAAGATCAGTAGACTCATGTTAGTGAATCAGATGAGATTTCAACAACATGGTTATCAAGGGATAAACAGTGAGCAAGCTGAGTATCGCAAAGCATGAGGCATACATATCATTATTATAATGATAATGCTAAAACTTCCAAAAGCCTTAGAAGGGTACGTACAGTCTTATAACGGCTGGATGAAAATCTTGATTCTGCCGGCATAAAGTTTTGACAAGGGAAGATGGTCAGAAGTCGAAGTGGCCAATCCAAACAAGCTGCATAATGTTCGATGCAGCATAGAACGGTAATTTCAAGTCTGTCTTCCGTATCTGCTAAACGCCTTTGTAGGCGAAGTTACTATGAGCAGTTTCACTGCGGTAAAATCGTGTCTGCCCCAATCGGGACCGGGTCGAATCGACGGCTGAATTTGCGCTCTCGCAGCAGTAGGGGGTTTGCGCTGCATACGCGCGCTGTCGCGCGAAGAGCGAAGCGATTTGGAAGAGAGCAGACTAGCTAGCTGTAGACGTGACGCAATACCTTCGCGATACGGAATGCCGCCATGCCAGTTGTTGTGGCCTGGTTGGGATTGGGGCAGACATAAAATGCGAAATTGGGTGCATTATTCCGTTTCAGCTCATCTTTAGGTATGAGCTATACCAACTAACTTAGCCGCATGTTTTGGCCTGGCATTGGACCAAACATGGCTCTGTACGACCAAATTTGCAATTTACATGCACAGTTTCTTAGCAAGTGATGACCTGCTGACCATGACCTAGCTTACAGCTTTGTCAAAGTATTTAGCAGATAAGATAGGCAGTTTTATAGTTAGCGTTTCATGCTGCATTTATAGATATACAGCTTGTTTCGATTGGCCACTTCGACTTCTAAACATTTTCTTCTGGGATGAAAGCGATGCATGACTTCATGGGCTCCAAATGGATGCGCTTTAGAAACGCAGATGGTCATCTATGTTTACGAAGTTTTCGGGGATCCCATTGAGCCATTTTTGGAGTCATGTGACTTGTCCGGGGGCTGGATATTCAAGTTTACACCCTCATCGTAATGACCATTCTGTTTCACAAGAACAGTATTGGGCGATGTATAAAGTCTATTTTTCCGGTCACGACTGATATGGGCCACCGCTTTGGCCTTAGCTTATTAAGGCCTCCCAATTAGTATCAAATATAGAAGCACTTAGATTTACCTGAACGTTGCTTTCGACCCTCAGCAAGTTAAGTCCGTAATGATTATTTTAGGTGCGTTTCTTCTGCGAAATGCTTACGTTACTGTCAGTCGTAATCAGAACATCAAAGGACATAGTCGACATGCAACAAATAGGATTGAGACGATGGTGGATTGCCATTGTATGCTAAACTTCTCAGCTGCCACCAGATCTAACCAGCCAAATGTTTTTCAGAGCGCTTTTCCCGAGAAAGTACTGCACAAAGCTTCGCAAGTGGTTCTGCTGATGATTGTACCAATTCGTACCGCCTGCTTTATACATCCAGTTATGCTTCTGCTCGACAATGTAATGACCATAGCCGTGGTTCTAATGACCACAATGCACTTCTTATTTTATTGCAGGTGGAAGAAGAGGATAGGACAGATTGATAAATACGTGATGTTGTATTTTGTTGTTATAGGGGAATGAAATTTGTTGGTCCATTCGTTTTGATGGTTTACAAAATCATCATCGGCGACATGTTACGTTTTCTGCTGATCTATTCAGTTTTCGTACTGGGATTCGCGCAAGGGAGTTTTTTAGTTTTTCGAATTTTCTGCAGTTTTAAGGGTATTTGACACGTTCCATAGAAATCCATGAAGTCATGATTGATGTCCACAGTCATTCTGATTCTGATTACTTGCAAAAAAGGCGAAAATTTAGGGCGCATTTTGATTTCTGAATACGAAAATAGTCCTTTTTCAGCTTTCTATGTAATTTTTCATTCATGCGAAATGGCAGAAACAGACTACAGAAAGAAAAATGGACTAAGCAAAGATGATGACTATAAAGGAAAGTTAGTTGCTCACTATGCACATTTCCTCAGTATTCATTGTCAGTACGATTCTCTCAGATTCGAGAATATCATGTACCCACCGAATGAAGCTCTAATGCGCATGATCATCATGAGTGTAGGAGAATTTGGTGCAGTATACAAGAATCTTAATGATTGTAAGAGTCGTGTTGCTCTTCAGGGAAAGGTCAGCGGTTCTTGATTCTTTCCTGGTTCGTGAAAAATCACTTTCAGATTTTATTCACTGTCTATGAGCTACTGGTCACTCTGATGCTTCTGAATCTGCTAATTGCGATGATGACGAGAACGTATGAGAAAATAGCTGAGACTGAGAAAGAATGGAAACGGCAGGTCAGTCTACATAGCAGTGGCGGGATTTCGGCTCGGGGGGGGGGGGGACAAAAATTTTTTTCTAACGAAGATGCGTGGCGTCAGCCACGCACTCCGAAAATTTTTTTGGGATGTTTCCCAAAATCTGACGCTTGTTATATTCTTGCATCGCCGACAGCATTTGTGCGTGAACAACTGGAATGTGCGCGCAAGTCGCAAGCAGATTGCCGGCAATTGGGAACATGACACTTATTGTCGCGCAAATGTTGTCGTCGCCGCAGGAGCACTGACCGTCAAATCCAAGAGTATAAGAGTATTTGCGCGCCCAGGATCGTGCTAGGGCAGATAACAATGAATGTACCAAAGAAGGCTATGCAGGTTGTTGTATGTTTTAGTGGGCCAAAGTGATCTTGATGCTGGAGCAATCGCTAACGAATGCTGAGCGACTCATGGCAATGTACAGCTATTCCCGACCGCTTGGAAGCGACAAAGCTCGACGTGCTTTTGTTGTTCGGCTCAAGTCTGATGTGAGTTTCAACCCAATGAAGTTCTTATCCGAACCAATATTTTTTCAGCACAAGTTGGTGATCCCCGAGAAGATCGAGTATATCCGAGAGAAACCCATAATACGCCTATCGCAGAGTCATTTGCATGTGGTCGGCCCGCTTCCACGTTTGTCACATCCGCGCATGTCACAGTGATCTCAAGCAGTGCTTGGCAATGTACAAAACTTTCGGAAACTACATGGAAATGGATCTCACATCTTGACCTAGTATGCAGTCAGGGCCTAATCTGTAATTATCATCACTCAATAGATACGTATCTTGTTTCCACTGGTTATCAGTTGATTTATAACCCTGTCTTATCCTTTTAGGACCTGACAACGACTCATAGCAATTTCTCTGAATCCTAGTGAACTAAAGAATTAAACAACTTTACATCCTTCTTTGCTATTTCTTCCAAAAAGGTTATTTTTACCGATGCCCAATCTCTTGGATTAATTATGAACAGGATATGTGATTTTGTCTACACTAAAGTGGGCGATTCATCTCGAAATTTTTATACATACGAAACGTAAACAAATCAGAATCATCCGACAATACATAGAATCTCTTCACGCAGAAGTCCCGCGCTCACTCGTTGGATTTTGAACTGATAAAAACAACCGTTTGTTGATGTGTATGAACTCGTCCTAATTCGCACAAAGTTCGTATTGAGTATCAGTGATGGAATAGGCGTAAGCCTGTATGTATGAGGGTGATCCCATGCTCATCGCATGCCTCGATGATCTCTTCGTCTCGAACGGAACCACCAGGGTGCGCCACATACATCACTCCAAACTGCAACGAGAGAGATGTAAATTCTGAGGAAGACATTGAAGAAACGTCCAGGTAAATTCTGCTGCCTTGCGGATTCTAGTTGAAAAGGCCTTACTAAGCTGTTAGGCAAGCGCAGCTCGTTTGATCATGACCGAGAAAGTAAACTCTGAATTATGTCCAGTACCGTAATCGAAGACCCTGACTGACTCGCCACTACGGTACTGGGTGAGACTTTAGCGTCCGATTTCTCGGGCTTAGATGATTTATATGAACTGCCGCTTAGATAATGGCTTAGTTAGGACTCTCCAATCGGTTCCCACATGAATCCCAGGCACTCAGATCCGCCTAAACACTGCTGAGCTCACTTACCTGTTTTGCACAGTCAATATTATCCCTGAACGGTAAGAAAGCATCCGAACTCATCACAACTCCCGTCTGCTGCGCAAGCCAGCTTTTACGATCCTCCTAAAATGAAAAATGACGTGCATTCGAACTCGAACGATCATTCATAAGAGCTTAGAGAGTAATTCCAAATGCGTCATGACTGTTTTCGTGAGACAGGACCTCGCCAGATGATTTATTACCTATACATAATGTAACTGCTTCAGCAGCAATCTTTCGAGTCACTTCTGGGTTGATGGCACAAAAAAGTCATGACTAGTGTTTGAATCAGCAGATAATCACATAATGGATAAAAAAGGTGTATTTACCAATGTCAACGGATTCACGGGATCTGTGAAGTATTGCTGCCATTGATCGAGAGAGATCTGAAACTTGCAATTAATTAGGAAATGAAAATTGAGCTAGACAGATGCAAGCTAAAAATGCTCAAAATCAATAAGCGCCCTCGCAAATAGAAACTCGTACTTGCGTAAAAAGCACCAACAAAGCAAAAAATTGTAGCCCTCATCTATCAATTAGCTACGCTATTGAGAATGCTGTAATTTGAGGGTACCGCTCACAGATGCATACTCTCATTTACACGATTTAATAGGCAGTTTTCTGCCGAACAATTGAACATCTCAAGAGCAGAGCAAAGCCGTATTATTTTCTAGAGCTCATCACTTCGATTAAATATGAGTCTAACATAAACTCATTCTTACAAGGAAAGGATAGTGACCCCGGCCATTTGGAATCCGATGTATAGCACCTCGAAAGCTGATTCTAAATCTGTGCTCGAAATCTGCGAAACGATCATATGAAGGTTATGAACCTTTTTGCGTGGAAAATTTGCGTAGTTTTAGGTAGTTAAAATCACCCAATTCGATTTATTTTACCGTTTGAACTACTAAGGAGAATCTTGAAAGGTGAATGTTGTATTTATGCTTGTCTAAATCATATCCAGCATTTGAAGGAAAGAAGAATTTTTATTAATGATTTTCACCCTTCGCAGTAGCGGAAATCAAGGTTGAAAAAATAATTATAAGTCCATGCAGGTTCTCGTTTCGCAGATAAGGAAAACAGTATTCGACCAGCATTAAAAGATGCATTTTTCGATATACAAACCATTATGAATGGCCGGGGTCACCAAGTATCATTCCCCTGCTTAGTCTCAAGATGATCATCAATGATCTAATGATCATCATTGATACCATAATGACCACCTACTTCATCTCCAAGAACTCCTGAGCATAGTACATCGATAGCATTGGATCTTTCCGATCGTCGTACGGTGGGCTTCCATGGCAACGAAAGAACAATGGGATGCTGTCGGAGCCACCTGAAAAGAGTCAGCGACAACTTTTTCGTGGTTCTAACCTTGAAAAAAGCTGCGGGAAATTTTATCATGCGCACCAAGAATGGTCCTTCGTATTTCAAATGCCACTGCGTTCAACAAATAGCTGGGCGCCCACTTATTCGCTAACAAACGCAATCCATTCCAAAGTAAATTATGTTTTTGGCTAGAACTACATTTTATGAGATATGAAAATATAAAATTGTGTATATTATGATGTTTAAGCTAATTTTAAATTTATGAGAATGTAAATTATACTATGTGATTTCCTGGCAAGGGGTTACATTCTATAAGAAACGACAAAAAATGTTATGCATGATATTTGATAAGATATCGTCCTAGAAAGCCCAATCAAGTCATTGCAGCAGTTGCTACAGTCATTATAGTTATTACGACCTAGTGTTTCGAGAAGGTGGACAGCACGATCTTCGCAAAATCTCTCAAATGACAGAAAACTTAAAAGCTGCAAGGATTTGGTCCTGAATTACCCGTTGTTTTCATGTTTTCGTTAAGATTATCATAATCCAGAAATTTGCACGAGGCTGGTTTTTTTTTTCAGAGTTTGATGCCTTAAGTTGTACTATCTCTCACGTAAAACGGAAATCGTCAGTCTTTCAGCCTGTTCCCAGTGATAAGAATGATTTATCATCGCTCTATCAGTGACCGTTCATAGCATTACGCATTTCTTGTTTGGGCATCGTCACATGCCCCCGCCTTCCTCCGTAAAAGATGCCACTATAGTACTAAAATAGCGGGTTCGTTCAAAAGCTTTGCGCTCTCATTGTTTGCCAGTAGGTCAACCAAATGTAGCCGAGGGGTAATGACGCAATCTCTAAGCCTTGCGAGTTCTAAAGCCCAGGCTATAAATTGACGGGGTCCTGACGTCAGCGTTGCCAGTGTCGCTCTCCTGTCTCCTTGGTTCCAACGTGCGAAAGAACGCGGGGGAAAGGGGCGTGGCTTGAACAGAGTCCATCAAAATAGCTCCTTTTCTGGCACGTGCCCGACTATCGGTCTATTTCTGTTTTGTGTACTCTCCTAATGCCTGGATCTCCTGATAGTTGCCTCTTGCCATTTAAACAAAATCTCGATAGAATTTTCCAATTTTCTATTTTTTTCAAGGTCTTTCGCTTGCTAGATCCGAAACCGCTCTTTGTCCTCTTGCCGATGTTTCCTCCGTGAATTAGCTGGCAATGATCTCTCGATACGTTGCCTGGATTTTTGCACTGGTACGGATCAGCCAGTGCCTTCTCATGTTTGATCGAGGTAAACTCAAATCAATAGGTTTTTGTAGATTAGTGTGTAGATTCCGTATAGATTTTAGCAGAGTCAGAAAACGCATGCCTTCTCGCGATGTGTGATGCCGATTCTGGTTGTGTGCCAAAGGGATGCTCTATAGACCAATTTGATAGAATTGGATGTGGATATTTCCGGCTAAATATTTACCAATTCAAGGTAGGTGTAAACAGATATCACTCCCTCCAACCAAATCAAGAAATGAAACTGTAGCTTCTTTGGATTGCGTGGTTAGTAAAAAAGCAGGCCATATGCGATTGCTCTTTTGTCTATTGTCAAGTACTCTTTTCACAATAAGTTCTTAGCGATGCAAATAAATGCTTTTTCAAGGCAAACGTTGATGGTTATTTTGATATGCAACTTTTGAAGCTTTCTACAAAACCTCTGCGGTGTCTCATCTTACCACTTTCTATTTTTCGTAAAAAGTATGATTACCGTGCTTACTGGTTCTATGTTGCTTATTGTTGGTTATGAAGCCAAGATTTGACAATACCGAAGACATTGCACTTTAGGTGACGATAGCAATTCCGCTCTGCGCTACTTTTTCGAAGAAGCCTTTTAACACAAATTGGCTAGGTGGTGGTGCATACGATTTGCGCAAACAAACAAACTCTTTTTGCAAAAAACCGCTTCTAAGGAAAAGGTTTTCTATTGCCTTACCTTCTGGAAATACAGAAATATTTATCAAAAAGGAAAGCGCGCACAGACGACAATAAATTCGGCAACTTTCATAGCATAAGATATCCTCTGTAGATACCACTCAGCTGCGTGTACATTTATTGCGAGCTTAGAAAAACCTCTAGCTGCAGCGTTTGCATTCTTGTAAATTTTCTTCGATTTTGTAAAAAAAGTAATTAAATTAAAAGTCTTTGAGAACTTTCAAGTAACACTTTTAATGACTTGGAAGATTTTGATAAATTTTTTGTGTACTGCATACCCATGTGCTTGCAAGGAACGTTCTTTAAAACTTGAAATCGTACTATACAGAATAATTTCTGTAGTGTGTATTTCGCAATCCCAACTAAAAAGCGACTTGTTTTCAGTTGTAAGCAGTACAGATTTTTTGGACAAAATCTCTCATTTCCAGCTCGCGAAACATTGAGGCTTCACAATCTAGCGCAGACACTTTATACAACTTTGAGCTGCTAAAGCTAGGTAAAATTTCGAAACCAAAAACAAATAAACTACCTCTGTTAATCTAGTCTTTGTTAAGCTGCTAATTCGATTTGCTTTGATAATAATATAAGTGATCAGCTAAACTACATGTAATCGTGTATAAAAGATTAGAATATTTTTTCGCAGTGTTTCTGACAAGCATCCTATTGGGTCGGCATCTACATTTTATGTTACTATCCCATACTTTGCAAGCGTTGCAAGCTAGAAACCTAGCGAAAATGGTCAATCGTCATGAAATTGACAAATGAGCATCGCTGCTTTTTTCGCAACTAGCTTAGGATTTCAAATTTCCTCTGACGCTAGTCTAGTGACGCGACATCAGTGACGAGTGCAGATAGAAAATAAGTTTAGGCGGAGAAAAAATTCTGTTCAATCCAAGCTTGCGCTACTTTTCTCTCGTTAGCTGTTATTTGAGAACGTTCTCAAAAAAAGTTCAGGCCGTAAGGTGAAAGAAAAAGAAACAAACGTCCAGCGCGGTTCCGATTTGCTCTGTTGAATGTACAGAGACGTATAGGTTCAGTATTTTAGCAGTGCTACCAGCCAGGAAAGAAAGAAGATGAAGACGAAGAACTTGCTTGGATCAACTGCGCCGAAGACTATCATTGCTCTGCTGAATGCATTCGGGTAAGCTATTGAAAACACATGGTGTTAATTCAAGTAAACAGACTATTTTAGGTGTTAGGTAGTCGTTTTCGAGTGAAGTGCTACGGTAAATCAGACTGCGAAACTCTGGCGCGAATTCATGATGGAGGAGCGAATGGATGTCGTGACAGGTATCATTCTTTTGTGGGATTAATTCCTTAGAAATTAGCCATCATGTTAGCAGACGAATTCAACTTCTTTTTTCTTTGATACTACACTTCGAATATATCATGAGCTAACATAAATATTGTCGCATTTTTATATCTTTTTATTGTTAGCGGTTGTCGGCGTCTCCAGAGAAGAACGACACACCCTTTCAATAATTTCATGTGGAAATGTTGATGACATGCTTCATCCTCGCATTGAGCTGTGCAAATCAAAAAAATTAGAATGTTGCTGTGCAATTTTTGAGAAGCGATAAGCGAACAAATGTTGTCTACTGACTACTAAGTCATTCAGCAAAAATAACATTGTTCGATCCTTTGCGCGGCAGCGTAGGGTACAAACAATGAGTAAGCTGAGTTTGTAAAATTGCTAGAAATTTTGGGGCAGTGCAGACAAATAGTCTATTATCATATACCTGTTTTGTTATAGTGAAAACAACCCAGCTTCACAACAGATACTGTAATCACTCCCCACACGAATTGCAGAAGGCAGAAAAAAGGGGCAGAGTTTTGTGATTATAAGAGAGCTGTGAGTATATGTATGTACATGTGCGGGGGAGAGGCAAGGGAGCGGGGGGGGGGGGGGAAGAAGGAAGAAAAGATGCAGTGTGTAAGCAAGTTTGGCACTCATTAGTGACTGAATTTTCAAAGATGTTCATGAATTTCCGAACGATCTTAGATGACCCGGAAATCTGTAGCTGAGGTTTCTTTTGCTTTGCGAGCGTTTTTTTAAGGTCCAAACTCAAGATAATGACGCAGAGAACGCGCACGAGACATTTTACTGGTTCGTGCATCGTAAAGTTGGAATATAGAAGTAGTAATCCGTTGCCTCGTCAAACATTTGATGACGCATAATTGCGTAGAACTCATGTTTGCAGTCGGGACTCAATTTGCACCTATTCGCTTCGTTGCATCCGTCAAATGAGGGCTAAATATGGAGTGCAATTGTCCAATCAAGCGTTGCAATTTGATAAAACAGGCAGCAGCTTTTTGCTATATACGGGATATTTTGAGAAGGTATCTCCACAAAAGATGATGCCCACAAAAGTGGGTGGGAATGACGTTACACGTTACGAAACCATGCAGGTTCCTGAACGAACGCTTATGGTATAATACAACATTCACATAAAAGTATTTTGTTGCGTTCTCTCAGACAATTGCATCGGGAAGTTCGCGGGTGCTTGCTCGGCCAACAATCATCCATGCCGCGAGCTGCCCGGTATAAACCGATATTGGACCCGATAAGTGACCGCGGCGCATCCTGTAAGAGCCCGATAGTTGACCCGATTACCATGCTTGTGAGGCCTAGGAAGAAAAGAGTTTTGGCCTGTCTTTCATGACAACGACTGAGTACAAATTGAGCAACTTGTTAGCTTATCTCTCGACATCATCTACTGTCGTCGATAACACTCAACCGATTGCTGAAGTTTGTTTTGTGAGCATATGAACTCAACTGTCACACAGCCCACCCCGAGAAGCGATGAGCAGCCCCACGGACACTTAAAGTAGCTTCATCGCTGCGGCGTACCTCACGCGGGTTCTGTCTTAAGCTATAGCGTGTAAGGAGTGCGGCCTTTGATAAGGTCCGCGGCACGCCGAGTGAGGTGATTGGGCCGCGACTCTCCCGATAAGCTCTTTCCAATTTTAGCTTTGGCCGCGGCGTTCCCGGTAAAATACACATGGGCCGCGGCGTGCGCGGCTGAAATTCTAAGGGCCGCGGCGCGCCATGGTAGCACGCTTTGAGGCCGCGAACTTTCCGATGCAATTGTCTGAGGGGTTTTTATTTTAGAAAACCGAATACTGAAATAATTTCAGGAATACTGCATATTACTGGAAAAGAGTTCGAGATATTTGCGGTGGTAAATGTAACAAACCCATATTTGTACGACACTGACCCTGCAGCTATGCTATATTTGTACAAAGTCTCTTCAAAGGTAATACTACAAAATTGAAAGTTTCTGAAGGTGCAACGTAAAATGCACTTTTTTCAGGATCACGTCTCCAAAGATGCAACAAAACTGTCAGAAATCAGTGAAGTTTCAATGATTCGAAATATTTGTGCTGCAAAAATGAAATGATTCTCTTCTGCAAAAAACTTGTATTTGTGGGCAAAGCAGGATTGTGAGTCAGTAATTGATAATCTGAGGGCTTTGTAATGGTTAGCAACCAACTGAATGCAAACTGCAAGAAAGATATTTTCCAAGGTTTCCTCTTCAAATTGAAATTGTAAGAAAAAAGAACCTGGATAAACCTCGCCCAGATGTGATTAATCACAGTTAGCTGCTAACATTCATAATCAAAAATAATAAACAAATCAAAATGAATACCTAATTCCGTTTCGTTAATACTCACTATACGGGAATTACGCAAAGTATACGATCTCTCCGGAATTCATCAGTAGTGAAGGAAGATCGCAAACCAGTAAGTAGTAAAGAAGAAAACAGAAGAAAGAAAGAAAGAAAAATCCAAAATTTCACTTATAGATTGGATAGCTATATTAGCAATCATCCACTTGCTATTGCTATTCGTAAGTAATGCTCCTTAGCACTCAATAATGGATCAGCAAGCTTGGTAGAAACTTATTAGGAGAAAGGAAAGAAAATAACTACGAAAATGATCATGATCAAAGTCAACACTTTTGATGTAATCTTATTTTCCGAATCAGATTTTTTGACTTACCCTCGCTTATTTACTTGTTTATCAAACAAAAAGCTGCATGAACTTTACGGTGCAGAAAGAAAGTCTTGATCCTACACCAGGGCTCGGCACGAGGCGGCCAGTTGAAAATGCAAAAAACGAAGTCTCCTTCAACTTATGCGAATTTTTACGAAGTCCGCTTTTACCTTACACCGTAATCCCTAAAAAATCTCCAAAAAACGAAACGTCGATCAAAAAAAAACGTCGCAAATTTTGTGTCTTTTCGGCCGCAAAAACGAAACCCCTTTGTTTTTTGTCCCAAAAACGATATCCAGCTTGCTTATAAGCCGAGCCCTGCCCGACGCAGCAGACAGTCGAGAGAAATTCAGGTTCAGAGGATTTAGTTGTAATCGTCTACTTTTTAAATTACTGTACGGTGTACCGCGACGCTCGTATATACTCAGCGATTTTTGCGGTGGAAGAGTTACTAGTTTTGTAAATTTTCAGAAGAAACTTGGTATATCTAGGTTGAAGATCGTTTTGCCTTACCCACATCCTCAGACTATTTTAGCTTGTTTGTCAAACCAGTAAAAGCAGTCCTTCAAACCAAGATGTTGCAGGCTATCCTGTCATAGTACAATTTTGAGAGATCGTTCCAGCAACACAAATAATCGGTTGGCATACAAATTTTGCAACTAATTTCATTTTACTCTTTTCGACTTTGACGGATTCATTTTTGGGCATAATGTAGACTAGGCAGCATGCTACAATTACGCTCAAACAGCTTAAGTTTTGACAGCAAAACGGGAAAAAGTTCCGCATTTTTCAAAAGCTGGTCAAAATCGAATTTTTAAGGGAGAGAAAACCAATAAAGCCATTTTCAGTCTGGATCAAACGCATCAAGCCGAAACTGTATAGTTTACTAGAGATTCCTTCATCAACAATTTGGGCACAGTTTCGGCTTGATGCGTGCCTCCCTTTGAAACTTCGAATTCGACCAACTTTCGAAAAATGCGAGGATTCTATCTACTTCGCTACCAAAAATCGAACTGTCTGCGCATATTTGTAGCTTACAACCTAACCCACATTATATCCAAAAAAAACGCGTCAGTTTCAAAAAGAGAAAAGTTACAAAATTATTTGCAAAAACTTATGTGCCAACCTATTATAAGTCGTCTTGAGAGAGCGTAAGGCACAAATAACAAGTGCAGCAATGAAAAGAACTTACAAGGGAATAGTCAAAAGTCGAAGTGGCCAAAACATACAGGCTGCATACCATTAGATGCAACATAAAACGCTGACTCTAAATCTGTCTTCTTTATCTGCAGAGCGCTTTTGTGGACGAAATTATAAGCCTTTGAATGCCATTATTTTGCTAAGAAATTGTGCGCGTAAAGTAAAAACTGGCCGCACAAAACCATTCTCGGCTCAGTGTTGGACCAAAACATGCAAGTAGATCACTTCATATGACCCATACCTAGAGATGAGCTGAAAGAGCAAAAATGTGCCTACTTTCGCAACTTTTGTATACGATTTTTCGCAGTAAAGCCACTCACAACTTCGCCTACAAAGGCGCTCTGCAGATATGGAAGACAGATTTGAAATCAGCATTCTATGCTGCATCGAATGGTGTGCAGCTTGTATGGATTGACCACTTCGACTTCTGATCATTCCCTTGTTAGTTCTGGTTAAAGGTCCTCTGTAGTGGGCAGATCAAGAAACTTCTTCTTTGTTAAGCAAATAGGAGAGCATGATCAATTTAACTTGAACCAATACGAAGAAAGACTTACCAACTGCAAGCTTTCTCTCCAGCAAGCCTAGTGCAATGAATCCTAGACTGTTGTCCGGCACCCATTCCAATCACCTGAGAAACAAACGATCAGTTACTCTAAACGTACTACTACCACATTAAGTGTTTAATCAATTCCATATTTGTTAAACCATCCGCTCTTTAACAACACATGAATAAGCGACAAAATGGATGCTGCAAACGTCATTAGGCCATCTTTATTGGAGAATTTTTCTAAAATAATAATTGAGAAAAAAGTCTGATCCAAAAGTACACCAACTGCTAGATGCGAGTGTCACTTGTTCAAATAAAATGATTTGTTTTGACCAAAGTGCCGGATAAAGCGTATATCAAGTGTAAAACAGAGGTGTAGTAGGTTGTCCCATTATGAATTGTCTTCCAAGCATCACTTAAGATACATAAAAATTAAATTTCTAAACCCAGGGCACTCCTCTAAATCCATTTGAATTCGGGATTGAAGTGTACTCCTTTACATTAGCCTATCAGACGCCGTTTGGACTTTTGGTTTTCTATTACCCGCCAAACTAACCGTGAATAATTTTACCATATTTATTTTTTGATATTATGATATTTTTTGCGGATTATCTGGCTGCAAACCAGCTGGCGCTCTATCGTCCGATTATCATCTCATAGTGGTGACATGTGAAATTTTTTCGAGGATAGAGAGGGAAGGACGGAAAGTTTTTTCTAATGAGACGCGTGGCGTCAACCTCGCCTTTTGGAAAATTCTTTTACGTTGTTTATCGAAATTTTCTCGGGCCTGTAACCCAAAAATTTGAGAGGAAAGAAAATGGCGGGACCACGCCCCGAAAAAAAATTATTTACATAGCTAACTCGAATTTCCTATCTGAAAATCAGCTAGATTATTCACAAACTAGCTGGCTTACCCGGCTCCGCCGTATGTTCCGAATAGAAAATTCCATTTCTCAACCGATCCGGACCAAACTTGGCACACTTCACATCAACTTCATACACTTCGGGCCCCGGCGGGTGTCATAGGCTACTTTTCGTCATCGATCGATATCGATTTTATCGATTTTTTCAGACAAACAGACATTCAGCTTTATATATAAGATGGAAACAAGTTACAGACCCCCAAAGAAAACAAGATTGTCCAAAGCTCAGATTAATAAATCACAGCAATAAAGTGTTTCGAAAAATCATGCTGATCAACACAATTATGTCGTTTGACAGGTTGGTCAAAGACCAAATAATGCCCAAGCTTCCAAGGATAACGTAATCTTTCACTTGACAAAAACTACAATAAACAAAAAATTACGACTGTCTCTCAAATCTGCGACTGTGGCGGCTCGATAGGCTTAACATCCCTCTGTGGTCAGTTTGTTACCATACACTTAAATTCTTTTATCCGCTATGTACTAATACTAACGACCGCGATGGAGCTACCTCCATAACAACAGCTCGACACCTTTAGCCCTATCCATTACCATATATACTTAGCTTATAAATCAGAAATGTTTATACAATTTATCCAAACCGGATATGAGAGAGCCGTCTGAGGCTAGAGAGAAATAGCACGGAAATTGGCCCTGATCCTACCGCCCATACCGATGGCTCCTACTCAGACAATTCACCGGAACTTCCACAGGACAAGCAAAATTTGCGGCGGTTCCGCAGGGTTCTATCTATTACTGCAAAAATTGAAAGTTGAAAAAGGGAACTTCCGCATGATTTCTACGTCAGACTGGCTGAAAGCTGGATTTTCAGCAGGAAATTTTACAAAGCGCTGCGGAGTTTCTGAAAAAACCAGCGGTTCCGCAGCATTTTGACATGCCAGTACTTCCGCAGGGTTTTGAATGTGTTGCCTCGTATGATATTGCCTCGGCAAACTAGAATGCATTATCGAATATGTCAGCCGTAGTGCATAGGATAATAGGTGAGTCTACAGTCAACAGAGTAAAGTTCAAACCTCGATTAGGTGTTCTCTTTTGCTGTTATGGTTCGCATTCTTCGGAACTGTCGCAGCACGTTTACGAAACTTCCGCAGGTGACCTACGGAACTTCCCCAAACGTTCCGCGGGAGTTCCGGTCAATTGTCTGAGTAGGTCGACCCGCCATTTGCAGCTGGTGAAGGTTCGCTGCCCATGCGCACGGATTTTGATTCTCGAAAGAATCTCTCAACCTTCTCCAAGAACCAAGAACCTTCTCACCATTGCAGGTTTTGCATTCCCATCCACTAAGTCTTGCTTTCCAAACAACGCTGGTGCTGTCCGGCTTCCAGGAAATTTCCATCTATACCGAGTTTGACAAAAAACTCGCGTGGGAGCTAACGGAGGGAAGAAGTACGCATACCGATACCAAGTGCCGTCTCTGCGGATTGCTAGTCTTTCCACGCATGCCACACCATACTGGCCGACGTGGAACAGCTGTCTGCGGAAGAGGCCCTATGCTTCTTCCCCCCTCCCCCCCCCCCCCCCCCGCTAAAAGACATTTCGCTGCAACACAAAGAGATCAACTTGAAGGCTGCACAACGGATGGAAGTTCTGCTATCTCTAACCTCACAAGCTGAGATAGAAATCCCATCGCGATATACGGAAGCGATAGGCAGTAGGATCCTCCCCTTTTGCCCTGTTGTAAAACCGTTCTCCAGCTGAACGTGCTCTCCCTCTCTCCTATGAACACATTTACAACAGCCAAAGAATTTTTTAAATTAAAGGCACCGTCCACCCAAAATGGAGGTTGGCGAGATTATGATGGCATACTAGTGTGAGCCCTCACACTTGGCAAACCCCCAAACTTCGCCGCAAAAGACTGACTGGACTGCTGTAGGAGAACACAAGCTAGCCGAACACCGGGCACGAAATAAGCCGTACAAATAAAGCTACCGAAGAGTGTTTGCTGGAAAGCTCTATGGAGCATATTATACATAAGACATCATTCATAAGCTTGATACGAGAATCAAATAACTTAAACATATGTAAATATGCTTAGCAAGGTGTTTCTCTACTCATTACAAAGAACTCTGGTTCTTGATCTATCTTCAAACGAAAATGTGTTCTACGACATTTTATTCAACTATTTTCTTTCATTTGACTTCCCAACTCAAGATTTTTACACCTGATATTCTAGTGATTACAAGCAAATGTGGCACGCACCTGTCCCCTATGAGCAAAGCAAACTGTGTTTGATTGCGCATATTTCAATGCTATCGTAGCTACGATGAGATCATCGGTGGACTGCTTGTTCATCTGAAAAAGAATTCATATGATATTGGCTTAATCCTCGCTGATGTTTCACGTTATTCCTCCAGAAAAGGGAAGTAAAATCTCTGAAAACTACTTTTCAGTCTGTTAGAATGGATTGGCGAAGAGAGGATTTTTCTTTCATTTTGGGAAGTCGGAATGTTGGTAAAGAGACCCAAACTTGGAAGATGCCGTTTTTCACAAATGTTTTAGGTCATATAAATGAAACTCCTTGGACCTCAGGTCCCTAATTCAATAATTTTGCTTTACCACGATAGCTCTCAGACCCCATATTTTGCTTCTCAATCTCAAGGGAGTCACAATCTCAGAAGTCCCTACACTCCTTTAAGGGCTTTTTTTAATCTGGAAGCATATGTCTTAGCGAGACATGCGATCTACAGCTTCATTTGTCTACATGCTCATTAGTCATATATTTTATGTGGTAGGGGCAAACATATGGCGCAAGATGATGCATTGAGAATGCAGCTACCAGAAATTTTTTTTCCGGAAAAATTCAAACCTCATTTGTTTGATGAACTGATAGAGTGTATTATCTGCAATTGCGGATCGAAATAACATGCACAAAGTAAACAAAACAATAACCACATTGTTGTGTTTGCCCACAACATTGCTGAACGTCTCGCTGTTGATGGTCGCATTGTTTCGCTTCTGGCGCAGCCGCAGTCCAAAAACTGTCCTTTCCTCCGTTTCCGTGGGAATATAGTTAGGATTAATCTGAATCTCGGCAAATTAGATCAGGGGTAGAAGGCGAATCATTTACCTTCAATATACAGTAGTTTCCATTCTTCTTTTTGGCTAAAAGAGAAAGGGCTGCCGCATCGTAACCCGGAGCGACCACGCCATCGGAGACTTCCCTGGAAGAACAGCATACTTGGCAAGCGGTCAAAGAAAAATTCGCTTTGCAAAAACTGTTGCAAAAACTTTTGGAAAAACCTATGAAGGTTGCATGTAAAAAATCATCACCTTCGTTTGAGGCTGGACAAAACTTCCGAAGGATAGAGAAGTTTTTAGAGATAGACTAGTATCACTTTTGAAACACTCAATCGGAAGTGGCACCTCACTCATGAAGCCTTACTACCGCTACTGTTCTCAACTATCGATGATATCAAGGGACCTCTTTGGTATCGAAAACGTTCAAACTTCACTACCAACAAGTGCATATACAGGGTGTCCCAGAAGTGACTATCATCTATCCTACGACTAAGAGAGGCATGACCGCATTGCGGACATTGTCTTAACATGTTTGAGTTTGTTCTTTCCTGTTTCCAAAGAGTGAATAAACCTGGACGAGATAAATGACAAGTATAAACTGTTAAGTACACGATTAAGCTTGTTTAGACAATGTGTGCATTGCGGCCTCACGTCTCCTAGTCATAGAATGAATGATACACATTTTTCAATCGCTAATAACATTCTTCCCATAATGTCTTTTGCATAACTTCAAGCACATTCAATAGAGCAGGCTTCAAATCAGATTTACAGTGTAGAGCGGTATCTATATCCAGCTCTCTGCACTGATGTAGGATTACGGTAGGAAATTTGAAGAGGGTTTGATCTATTGATGGCAACATTTTGCCCCAAATTGGATACTTTTCAAACTTAAAACTTTATCGTCAAACTAAAATGAGTCGAGGACCATGAATATGAAGTTTCACAGACATGAAGTTTCACAGACTTTTTTCTTAATCTCTCATACAATTATTGTGAGCACCTGCGGCCCTCAAATTGCCTTTTGGCAGTGCGCGGACCCAAATTCTCGGATTGACCATACGAGATCCTAGATTTATTTGTTTGGCAGCAAGAGAAAGTCCGCGGGTCCTAATTGTTCTATCGGAACACCCGCGGCCCGAAGAAATACACTCGGGCGAGTCCGGTCCTTACAGGACCCCTGCTTTAGTTTTCGGGCAAGTGCCAGACCCTGACCCTGGCAAGCCCTGTGAGTATGCCAGAGAAACAGCATTAACATTTTTTCCACTGTTTGTCAGAAATGTCACTAAATTTTGAAAGGGTAGGCTTCAAAAACGAGTTGTCCAATGAAATCAGCTTATTTGGAAACACTGATGAACAATTCTCCAAATTTTCTTGGAACTTTTTTTTGAACGACTTATTTCGCAGTGGGGCTACATGCTGAAAGTTTCTACCGTAATCCTACAACAACGAAGAGCGATGGGGTGACTCGCTCCGTACTGTAAGTCTAAGTTGAAGTCTGCTCTACTGAATGGTACCTAGGTCAGACTTTGCATTAAAAAGTGTGTACTTACTTTTTGGGCACCTTATATTGTAGCAAAAGTGTAGAGCATATGAAATATTTTGCAATTCTATAGCGAGGTGATCAACAGAATAAATAAGTCGAAACCCAGCTCAAATTGTCTGACCCAAAGACAAATTATGTGCAAAGTGCACTCAAATTATTCGCCTTGCGTTTGCAGTAGTGCAACGGTAGCAAGTGCAATAAAAACCTAGAATTAATTATGCTTGAGAATTTGTACTCGTTCACTTCAGCAGAACAAGGATTGTGGCAGAGTTCATATCAGATGATAGAGCAACAAATACTTTTTGTTCATTTGGTTAAGCTAGTACTCAATTTTTGTGAGGAGATAATTACATTCGAATACAGGCCGTCGATTTGAAATTTAATGATGCCCTGGCATTGCCAACAATTGGAGTGCCAAAAAATCCCATTTTTTAAAAATTTTGTTGGCTTATAAGTTTTTTGTTTCCTTTTTAGTTCTTTTTTCTTTTTTGTTTTTTTTCGTTTTTTTCGTAGTTCCTTGACTCCGGTGTATCCTCTCTGCAGCGACTATCTCAGGATTACCGTTCGTAAGCGGGGGGAAAGAGCGAAAAAAATTTTTCGAATAAAGGTGCGTGGCGTCGCCAGCAATCGAGAAGTGTTTAAGATGTTTCCTAAAATTTTGTGACCCTGTAAAGTAGCGACAGCCACGCCCCCGAGCAACACCTACACGGTTACCACCAATACGATATCCTCTTCAAATTCTTAGTACTTCAAACAACGAAGTGTTGAAAGCTCAAAAGTGCATTTGTGCTTGAATGGCAGATTGTGTCTAGTGACAGTGCGATTCGAGAAATTTTTTTTCGGGGAAGGGGGCGATGAAATTTTATTTGAATGAAATGGCGCGGCAGCTATGATGCCTCCAGAATATTTGGGATGCTTCCCAAATTTTTTGGGTTCCAAAAAATTTCTTAAATAATCTAAACTGAATATGTTTTTTGATACTTGCTAATTATTTGAGAGTAAAAACGAATCACTTGCACAATTTATATCCTGTGAGGATTTAGTGACCCATTTTGGTGGTGGAGGGGGGCCTTCCTTCTCACAATCAGTCTACTATACTTGGGTCCGAATCGAATAGAAATTCGATCATTCGAATAAAACATTCGAATATATTCGTATTCGAAATTCGATATTCGGAGTTCTTCCATTTTCGAATAACATTCGAAACTCGAATAATTGAGAAAACGGGGTTTCGAATAAAAATCGAAACTCGAATAATAAAAAAACAGGGTTTCGAATAAAATTCAAAAACTCGAATAATCAAAAAACGAGGTTTCGAATATTATTCGAAAACTCGAATAATCAAAAAACGGGGTTTCGAATAGATTTTATTCGAATGTTTTATGCGAATGTTTATTCGAAATCGTATTCGAATGTACTCCGTATTCAGATTATTCGACTTTGTTGCAGAGCCAACTGCTGAGTATCAAGCTTACTTCGTCCGCGTTTTTTTTTTGCAAAACTCGGTAATGCATCTTTTGCAACCGGTCTACCTTTGAACTATATGGAGAGTCGCATTCTGCCGACTGCTTGCGACAGTAAAAAAATCATATGTGGATTTTGATTGATGTTTTTTCGATCAATGAGATTGTTCGCACTGCTATTGGCACCAAATCAGCAAAGAAGATAAAAATCAAATCAAACTGAAGCTCATGTTTTGAGTTTATACTGAATACAAGAAGGTAAGTGAGGGTGCTGATTATGAATAAAAATTTTCTTTATCGATTTTATCGATTTTTGAAAAATCTTGAGCTACGAGGTTGGGAGTTGGTACAAAGGGGTAAGCGAGGGTGCTGATTAAGACCGAAATCTATTTTATTGATTTCAGCAATTTTTGGAAAATTTTGAGCTAGGAGTTGGTATAGAGGATACTAGGGGGCTGATTATGATTGGATCGGCTTTAGCCAGATATGTCGCCAAGTTTGAGATGTGATTGCTTCAGTTATTCGATAAATCATTCGAATATTTATTCGAAATTCGACTTCCAATGTTCGAATATATTCGATATTCATTCATTCGATATTTTTGATTTTCCGAATTTTTTCGAAATTCATTCATTCGATATTTTTGATTTTCCGAATTTATTCGATATTCGTTTATTCGAGATTTTTAATTTTCGAATTTATTCGATATTCATTCATTCGATGAAAAATTATCGAATTACCCAAGTATACAGTCTACCACTGGCCCTTGGTGATTTGCTTATATGTTTGTGATAGAGATTCAAAAAGGGATGAAAGAGTGAGGCATAACTTTTGCATTCTTATGAACCAAAAAGGGACGCTGACAGCAGAGTGCCATAGTTTACGAACTATTAGGGTGATCCAAGAGTAATGGGGCACCTAAAGAACAAATGCAGTTTTCTCAAACAGAAAAACTATGGAAGTCCAAGTTTTGGCAGATGATAGTACATAACAAAACCTTCTAATCGAGGTCTATAGTTGGGCACTGTCACATGGCGTTATTTTTATAAGCGCTTAAAATTAAAGCTCATTACTTCGAGTATTGAACTTTGAGCAGCAGCACCGCACTAGAATAAGAGAGCCCACCAAAGATATCTGCGCAGCAATGGGTGAGAGAACTGTCACCAAATCCAAGATAGCTCTGTGGTCGCAAGGCTTTGAAAGAGAAGATATTAGGTTGTCCGGAAATTAATGCCCGTTTTGAGCTTCAACTGCCATAAGTCATACATTTTTCATTTCTAAATAGTTTGCAAAGTACCATTCGATAGAGCATTCTTGCTTTTGCAACAGCTCTCATCTACCTCGAGTTTCAAGCCAAAAACTAAAATGACCCAGCTGCCCGAAAAATCGAAAAAAAATTGTAACTCAGTCCATAAAAATCCTGCAAAAATTCTAACTAGCTTACGTAAACACTATCCACATAAGACATCTATATACGCCGTTGCCGCATTTTTTTCTCTGTTAGAAATCAAGAAAACGGAAATTTTCGCGCATTTGCCAAAGTGATGCTATGCCGTTCCCACATAAGCAGTTGTATACTACAAGCCTGTAGAAGTACAAACTTAAATTTCCAGCTCTCTACAAGCTTTAGTTCTCGAGAAATACCAAATATAGTTTTTCCTATTTAGGTAGTCCAAGCTAAAATTCAGATTTCTCGAGAACTAAAGCTTGTATAGAGCTGGGATTTTACGTTTGTACTTCTACAGGCTTGAGGTATACAATCACCTATGTGGGGACGGCACAGCATCACTTTGACAAATGCACGAAAATTTGCGTTTTCTTGATTTCTAGCAATGGAAAAAATACGGCAAAGGCGTATATAAATGTTTTATGTGGATATGTTTGCGTGAGCAAGTAAGAATTTTTGTATGATTTTTATGAACTGAGTTACGATTTTTTTCGATTTTTCGGGCAGCTGGGTTATTTTACTTTTTGGCTCAAAACTCGAGGTGGATGAGAGCTGTTGCAAAAGCAAGAAGGCCTTCTTTTAGGGCTTGCCTTGCTCTATTGAATGGTACTTTGTAACCCATTTAGAAGTGAGAAGTGTATGACTTATTGCTGTTAAAATTCAAAAGGCCATTAATTTCCGGACAACCTAATACAATGCTGGACATAATTATAGGGACACTCTAGAAATCGTCGTAATTTTCGTTCTTGTCAATGAATCTGTCTGAAACTTTGCTATTTTGTGCGCATGTCAACCTACCATGACCCCTCAAAGGCTTCCAGTCTTGTTGAGTTTGAACGGAGAAAAAAGAAAAAATTTGAAAAAGCCTTCTTTGAAAGCTGGACATAATTATAAGGACACTTGATTTTTTCAAACACTACTGCATCCCCTTGCTCTAAAATTTTTTTACAGTTATATACCAAGATATGTAACATTTGCAACACTTGCGACCTGTTATCCTTTCCAAAGAGAAATAATTACTGTATTTTTTACTTTCAAAAGCATCAAACGTGAATGTGCTTTAATAAACAGCTGGTTTGTGGAGTTCTCAAGCTCTTGTTCATTCCAAATGATAATCATGGAATCTACATAGATGAGGTGAACAGCGCTTTCGTAAACTCTGCGTAATCGCTGATTTTGACGGACAGACTCCAAGCTTACCATAGGGTTGACGCACTTTTGCACCACAAAACTCGATTTTAAAGCAACAGAAAATACTGTAATGTAGCCATTACGACAGCCATACAGCAATGAACTCGTGTGCATGACTGGGAAAAAATTTCGGGACTGAGCACTGTGATTCAGTCGCAGTTGACATTCACTGAATGTTGAGTGGAGCACCCTGTACAATCAAAGCCAATTCAGATTAGGAGATAAAACCGGAGACACTTGAAACTTTAAAATCTTAGCTAATCTCATTCATCGGGTGAAATATGACACGAAACACAAAGGGAAATAAGGAGATCTAGGGTTATATCGAATCTTCTGCTCGCAGGGATTTCTCGTGGAAAGTATTTCAGGTCTAAATCGCTACCGCATCATTAGGGAAAATCTAAAAGTTGTTGCGAAAGCTGCATCCCCATGTAGGCAATGTAATAAATCTAATTCAGCACTTTGTGGACATTGCAAACTGAGTTTTGTGGTTTGAAAGCGTTTCAAGGATGTGTTGAGGTTGGAGTCTGTCCGTCAAAATCAGCGATTACGCAGAGTTTACGAAAGCGCTGTTCACCTCATCTATCCAGAAGGGTCAGTAGATTACATGATTATCATTTGGAATGAACAAGAGCTTGAGAACTCCACAAACCAGCTGTTTATTAAAGCACATTCACGTTTGATGCTTTTGAAAGTAAAAAATACAGTAATTATTTCTCTTTGGAAAGGATAACAGGTCGCAAGTGTTGCAAATGTTACATATCTTGGTATATAACTGTAAAAAAATTTTAGAGCAAGGGGATGCAGTAGTGTTTGAAAAAATCAAGTGTCCTTATAATTATGTCCAGCTTTCAAAGAAGGCTTTTTCAAATTTGTTTTTCTCCGTTCAAACTCAACAAGACTGGAAGCCGTTTTGAAGGGTCATGGTAGGTTGACATGCGCACAACATAGCAGTTTCAGACAGATTCATTGACAAGAACGAAAATTACGACGATTTCTAGAGTGTCCCTATAATTATGTCCAGCACTGTATAGCATTGGGTATCAGGAGACATCTTACTTTTTCTTTCATCGAGGTAATCGAATAAGCTCAATCTTAACAGTCGCTTTCTGATAGTGCTTTTTGCGCTCTATCCATACATATGCAAAGTACTTCGACTTCTCTCATTTTCAAAAAATTATGATCCAAAACATGAATTTTATCTGAAAATCTGCGCCAAACACAGCACTTTTTCGAATAAAGTGCCTTTTTTGTATGAAATAATGGGAAATTTTCAAATATTCAGGTAATCATTAGAAATAGCTTGGAATGCTCTTTCGAATGGTATGCGATATGTCGAGGGACTTTCAGGTGCAGCAGCACAAATTCGGATGGCGTTCGAAAAAGTCTGTCTGAGTTTTTTGAAGCGCCGCTCGAAGGAATATCGGCGAGGTGCTGCAAAGTGCTGTCAAGATAACCTGCGAAGGTCACTTTATACAAAAGCGTTCAAACTGCTGGTTGTTCATAGCTAATCAGAAAGAGATCTTGAAGAATGTTTAAAAAATCAAGGTGCCTCATTACTTTTGGATCACCCTAATAATTTGGAAATTCGGAAAAATCAGAATGACGCCGCATCCAAAATTTGAACTTATATCGGTTTTCGAGAACTAACGGACGATACTGTACATTTATCATGCAGACCAACCTATTAATGATTTTTGCGGTCAGCTCGTCGCATTTTTCCGACAAAGCGATGAAGTCACCGAACGACGACATCCGGTCAGCACCTGGAATGAACTATAGACCAATCTTTTCAGCAGAACTCTTTTCGTGTCGAATCTACGCGTGAGTGGCTCAAAACACTACGAAAAGCCCTTGAATCTCTATGAATGAAGCGGTGACAAGCACAGCAGAAACACAGCCAGCCTACCGAGAATCGACAGCAGCGTGCGTTCCCTCTCAGAATTCAACAACCAGTCCTGTTCTCAAGTACACAAAACAGATAATAGAGATGATAGAGGAAGGAAAAGAATGCTTGGATAAGATGAGCGACCTGTAGCAGGGCGAATGTTTACACTACTTACCTGCTTACCCTATACTGTGATGAGAATTACAGAAAAATGTCACTAACTACAGAAGGTTTCGCTCCAAACATAAAATTCCTTAAAAGCAGAAAGTAGCAGAGAAGTCGGATTTGATAGTCTTAATCATCTTCTAGTCAGATCTATATGAATTTCACCAAAGATTGCAAAAAAAAATAAAACGTTTGCTTCAATTCAGACTTGAAAAACAATCGAAATTTTCAAGCAAGAAAATAATTTTTTTGGCTCAATATCGGCAAATTTACGATGTTCTTCCACTGCTGTTCATAAATTGCAGGTTCCATCAAAAAGTCATTCCATTATCTTCCTATCTAGAGATTTTCGGCCATAATGGAACTTTTAAAGTCGTCTATCAGCAACTTTTGATAACAAAGGGGTATTTGTAGCTAACAAGGGAAGTCACTTAACTTAGGTCGGGCTTTCAAAATGTGACACATATGGTTCGAATCAGCTTGAAATTCTGATTTCATATCTGCTTTCCTTAGCTGCGAAGCGTTCCTCTGAAGCGAGTTATGAGCTTTTTCCTGAGCAAATTTTGCGTGTTGACCGACTTAGGCATGCTACGGTATCATCATCTAGGTATTGGTTCAAATGCATATTATACCCTATCAAAGCCAAATGACTTAATTTGATGTTATTTTGATTTTCCACCACTTTTTGGGCAGATTTTCATCTAAAGACCTTCTTTCCATATTCAGTTGTATGTCAATGACACATACTAAAAAAGCTCATAACTCGCTTCAGAGGAATGCTTCGCAGCTAAGAATAGCATATTTGGAATCAGCGTTCCGAGCTGAATCTAAATATATGTGTCTCATTTCAAAAGCCCGACCTAAGTTAAGTGACTTCCCTTGTAAGTAGTGATTTCATCTGAAAAGTATGCGCTCTACAGTCCTCCCAATATTACGGTACCACGGCAGGTCTTTTAGTGTCTAAAAAAATATCTCTGTGCATTAAAATTAGTGGCTCATTCATCAAAGAATCCATATCCACTTTGTTTCTGTTCTCCTACCCCCATCCATGTCTGCAAAGTTTCTAACTGCGCCACCCAACTTAAAATCCAATAAAGGTACTTTTGGGAAGTGGAATGCAGCTAGTGAAAAAAAGGAAGGCAGAGAATCGAAGGCATCCAGACAAATTTATAAGAATTTTTAGATACCCTTGAAAATGACCTTATAAGTCATCTTAATCACTTACTCGAAGCAGCTTTGTTAGCCCATATGTCTCTCTTGTACTGAAACAGTAACGTCCTAGAAGCTTTATTTCCTTAATTATGGGACGTAGTGTCAGGTACTCCCCTTGATGAATTGTTTAGCTCCTCCCAAAAGTTTAGCAAGTTTTGTAAATGAAGCGTTTTATAGAGCACTGCACGCATAATTTGATTGGTCCTGTTTTCACTCACACCCATGATTGCTACTTTTATAATAATTTCGTTTGCTATGTGATCTTTAACAATCGAGCTATTTCCTTATGCCTAAGAAATCTTCGTAAACAAATCATAAGGTTTGCCTCGCTAGTTTGGAGTTCTGTGAAGTAGACACACCCGATTTGTGCCAACCCGAAAAGCGAATCACCAGCGTTTTGTCAGCGCTGTTGGGCAAGTTGAATTGCATTTGAGACATAAAACGCAGTTTGATTAGTTGCATCCCGTGCATTCCCCAATGACCAACGTAAATCACAAACGTGCCCTGCGGATAAACGTTGCTTGGTTCTTTATTAGGTCAAGGATAGAAAGGGTGAGTTGAGTTCTGGCCGAGGAGATTAAGTAAACGTCTCGGATGGAGCTCATCGAAATGGCTCGCCGACGAGAGATTAGATGGGGATATAAAAAAGAGAGTAAGTCAGCTGATGAGAGTAAATGGTAGTTCTGGGGACTACTCACCTCGTGCACGGGCATATGCAGCGGCTAGGGAGGGTTTTTTCGAGTCAAGGGGCAGATCAGCTACCATACAGGATTGCGCCTCAGAATCGTTCAGAGGAAGACCTATGGCTGCTCCTGCAGCGAATTAATTTCAATTAGTTCTGAATGAAAAAAAATGCTACCGTATACCTGCCGGGGAAACATGCTTGAATGAGGCTGCAGCCGGTAATCCCGTCGCATCGCTGAGTTCCTTGACAAGCTGCCAGCCATTCAATCCATCCAAAATGTTGATGTAGCCAGGAGCACCATTTAACACTAGAATGAAGGTTTTTAATTCAAAGTTCAAACTCTTCAAAATTTTTGAAACTCAAAATGTTGACGAAGATCACCAGGTTTTCATTTCCTCTTACGGAATAAATGTATCCCTCTAAGGATAGAAACAAAAGAGAGAGTGATAAGAGAAATTGGAAAACTTTCACATCCATCAAAAAATTGTCTCTTACTTACACAATTTCCCGGAACCTTACTTCTAGAAAAAATTCTTGTACATACTTTATACATACTTATTACTCCTGAGCAAATTTACTTCTCAGTATTAAAAATAAGTCTTACAGACCATCCTTACTCACTGAGGAGTTCCGGGATTGTCTGTAAATACTTTTACTCCTTCTGAAGGCAGGAACGAAACGGAGCTTTTTGACTAACTACACATTGTGAATTAAGAACTTTTCTTCTTATTATTTCTACTTTACATTATTGGCCCGTAGTCATTATCCAAAAAAAATTTTTGCTCAAATCCTCGAATTCGTTCCGTTTATGAATAAAAGAAATGAGATATCAACTATGGAAATAGCACTATTTTCAGTAAAACACAAAAGAAAAGAAGAAGTTATGAGCGGTCGAAAACACTTGGTTTTAATGAGTGTGCTTTTTTCTTCTGATAGTTAGAAAGTTATAGATTTTTGAACTTCCTTGCATATTTGGAAAATCAAGTATTTTGATTAGGTATTGTGGAAAATTATCAGCTATAAGTTTCTCTTGTACTTAGGCTCATATTATAAACCCCAAAAAACCTTATGCAAGACAGGAAGGACAACAAACTTTGCTTGGCTATTTTTTCTCGAATTCGGCCTTCCCTTCATCTAGTTTTATGATGCTTAGTTAGGACACCTAAAATGTGGTTCCCAAAGATTCTCGAGTCGAGAAATACCAGAACCAGGAATCTCACGGCTATCTCAATTATGCGTGGCCTAGCGCTTGTGTGCATATGTGATGCGCAACATTTTCTAGATGAGAATGTGAATAATAGAGATAATCATTTGGAGTGAATTATCGGAGCACTTTGGACGGATTTCGTAAAATTGGAGGTATATAACAAATTCACGACTTACCTTTTATGGGCATCTCGTCGTCCACAGCAAACAGCTCTGCTTCAGATTTTTGATGAGGGTTTGTGCCTAAACATAAAACATCATCAAAAGAAAAGAAATCTTAACGGTTTATACACACTATCCCTGCGCGACTGTGATTCTGTTGTCCATGGAGCGGAAAAGCTACCGCTTCTGCAAATAATATAAAGCTGACAATTGCACTGGAAGGAACAACCTGCGCGTCCCCTTCAGAGCCACAGTCAACAAAGACTGATTACCTTAGAAAATTTGAAGAGCAGAAGAAAAAATCGGGAATTGTGAGCTTCATTATTGGAGTCTTAAGGGCTGGGTTTACTTCACGCGATTCCAGTCGCGACGCGATCTGGCAATTCGCCGGAAGTCTTCAAATCCAACACTAGCAAACTGCACATGCATAGTGTTACAACTTACGTCGTTTGATAAAATGCCCTATCTTCTGTACATTTAAAATGTGCTTACAATGAGTTATGGACAGTTGAAATATTGCCAAATCGCGTCGCAACTGAAATCGCGTAAAATAGACCGGCTTTATACTCAAAGCTGGTAGTTTTCGCGCTCCACGGACAATGGGTATCACAGTCACGCAAATCACAGAAAAGTGCCGAATTCTGACGCAGATACTGTACTCTACCGTATCGGAGCGGAATACTTCGTTCACCGTTGCCAGCAAAATGCCGTCGCATGTAGCCACTGATGGATTCGTCGTAAGACGCGGTGTGTTCGAACGCCTTAAATAAGTAAATAATCCCTTCGAAATTCTTCCAAATGCTACTTCTCTCATTTTTTGCTTGCAATTACATTGTTTATCCCCGAGCGCGCCGGATTTTGAGTGGAATTCGGCCATAAACGCATAGTATCGAAAAAACGCTATTTGCAATGAGGAAGCACGGCTTCCGACGATGCTGCTGACAAGAACGAGAGCCATCGTACAGCTTTTGCGGTTTTTAGGAGAGGAGCAGTTATTTGAGTGTTAGGGAAAAGCGTTGCTTCGTGCCAGTCTCTGCAAACCTTCTTGGACGAGTATGAGCTCCGAGAGGAGCTATTAGGTTGACTAATAAATGATTTTGCTTTGATATGCAACTTCTAAGCTCCATGACAATTCAAGTAATTGTTATTTAGTATGATTTTTTCAATGAGTAGATTCAAGACCCTACAATCACATATTCATTACATAGAATTTTGCCTATTATAACTAAACTTCTAAACCTTCACTACTGAATCTCCACGTTCCGTTTTTAAGCTGCAGTAAGTGCACAGATGAGTATTTGGTTGTAAGTCAAACATAACCTTTGGCACAAACCGTTCGATTCTCGTTGATTTACCCTTTTGGATGTACCAAACGTTCATATATAAAATTATCTGTGACATTTCTAATTGCTAAAAATAACCGAAATTATTTTTAGCCAACCTAATATTATGGCGTTTACCCGAATCCCTCCGATAGCATATATACAAAAATCTTATCAAGTTTAGTCAGCTCAAACAAAGGTGGTAAGACAGCAAATGTATGGTATTTTCCACCTTGGTGCAGAGTTTATTTATTTCAATTTTATTCATTTTAATTTATCAAAAGTCTATTCCAAGATTCTACATTTCTTACTTACTACTTTGTTATAAATGCAACTTTTTTTCCACTCATAAAGTCAATTGGTTAGTTAGTTGTAAAGAACATGCCAAAATTACTGGATAATCGAAATCTATCTAATAACCATACAGCAATCCTTTTTCCACCATAATTTTTATGAATCACATGTGCCGTTAAGCGGATACATATCATTTACACTATACTAGGAGACGCGAGACCGCATTGCGGACATTGTAATTAGCAATCTTGACTTTTTTCTTTCCTGTTTCCAAAGAATGAATAAACCTGGACGAGATAAATAACAAGTATAAACCTGCTAAGCACACGATTAGGTTTGTTTAGACACCGTCTGCAATGCGGTCTCGCGTCTCCTAGTCTGATTGTGAGCATAAATGATAGTTCCCTCCTAAACTTCCTTTTCTCTTCTTATAACACTCGTAAACTCAGGTATTCTGAAATTCACTGCTGAAAGTTGGTAACTTTGCGATAACTCACACTCCAATTGATTACTCTTTTCGTTCACTAGTTGGGCAATCAGTTCAATTCATAAAGCATCCTCTAATACCCCCTGTCCGTCTACAATTGAGCAATCTCAACATACTGGGGCCTCACATGATGATGATACATTGCTCAATTCTGATGACTACACATTATTTCAACAAATTATTATCTGAACAAGAATGTGATATTGCTAATTGTGTGACAGTTACAAAAAATGCAGATTACTGGGTGCAACTCAGAGACTGCTAATTAGAAAACCTTCACCAGCATCTGTTCGAGCTTTATGCAACGGTTTCGAGCACTTCTAAAAATTTGCAAATTCCAAAGTGCAAGTAGAGCTGGCCACTTCAGTTCTTTTAGCTTCAATGAATTTTTGAGTGGGACTAATGGAAGTCAAAGATCTTCTCAAATTATGCCGACTTTACTCAGGTCAAACACTAAAAATAGTACAGAGTTATAAGGTTGCCCCAAAAATATTCGCCTTTTTTGAATAAACCTTTGTTTCTGTTTTTCGAGTACTTCAAAAAAAAATAAAATAAAAATTTACCACAAAACAATTGAATTTTGCAGAGATTTTTCCATGAATAGAAAGCGAGAGAGTTGTATATGTACTGCAACCCATAGTAAGTCTAACCCTAGAATTTCAGATCTGTAGGTGTTTTGGTAATCGAGAAATTCTGAGTCCAACATAAAAAACCCGAAAAAGCGATATTTCTGCATTTTTGGGCTAATTTTTCTCCCTCAATTCGAGCCCCGAAAATCCCCAAATGCAATCTTGGATACTACTATCTATCTATTGCTTAATGACCAAATTGGAGGTGTTTGAAAAAAAAATTTTTCCGGCTCCAAATTTTACCGGGGTTAGGACTTAGGCCGATCTTTGATGCTCATTTTGTAGGGCTCTATCGAATGGTACCCTAAGTCTGCCAGGAAAACAAAAACAGCTTGATTCATTTGCGAAAGGTGTTTACTTTCGGGACAACCTGATACTCATTGCTAATTGCACTTGTGAATTTCCTGTTTGAAAAACCGCATAGCTCCTTATATGGCTTTTGTAGAGATAGAGTAAAGGTTTGTGAATTACCAGCAATTCAGACCTTATCTGTAACGTATGTACGTGGTCTTGACCGCAAATTTTACTAATAGTGCTTCCTCGTAGATAAAAAGACGATATGGCTATATAAAGCCGGGATCGAATGTTTTCGAAACTTTTGGAGAAAATCGACTATGTATACGTACTATAGTAATAAACCCAGAGTTTTGGAACAAACAGCTTCGATTTATTTTCGGCCGCTTCGTCATTGGTGCACTTAGCACGTCGTTTTATCAGTTTGCACTACATGCACATGTTCTTTGGAAGTTCTGTTGTTCACAAAGATTAATAATTGTTTGAACGTCAAAAAAAAACATATGAAACCGATAAAAACATAAAAGTATCATCAAAGTATGTCCTCATATATCAACGGCAAATTGATGAAACAAATGAAAAATAAACATAATATTAGGTTGGCTAATAAATAAGTTCGGTTGCTTATGCGGCCCTTACAAATGATGCAGACAAATTTTTGTTTACTATTTGGTAACACTGGAAAGAGCACTTCAATGCAGATTGGAGTATGAGTTCTTTTGAGTAGAAGTTATCTACTAAGGATAAAAATCCTCAAAGAAGTCAGAAACTCCAATTTTCTCATGGTGCGCAAATATGAGGACATTTTTTTGATACAAGATTTTCGGAATGGCAAATCACAATTTTCATTGTTAATCACTAAACAGGGAAAACTCCTCCGTATCCAATTACCAGATTGTTTTTTTCTATATCCATTTGCAGCATGAAACCGAAGCTCAGGAAGTCAAAGGATTGAGTTTTTAGAAATTTTGCCATGTTGAGACGCTAGCTGCCCTTACTGATGACAGAAAATCCTGAATATTTGATGTGTGACAGACAAAGCTTTGATCTCAAAGAATCATGAATAGAAATTAACACGAAAAATTTCTATGTAAATTTGTATGCCAAAACGAACTTATTTTTTAGCCAACCTAACATAATCTGAAAACCTCTCAAGGAATTTTCTGCAAGAACATGGCTGTAGATCCAGGATAGGAGAAGGGAGAGTGAGCTTTGCGAGGTGACTTTTCCATAAAAGATGGAAAGTACCCAGGGGAAATATGAGCGTGCAGAAAAACGGAAGTTCGCATAGCCTGCAAATGACAGGTGCTATGACCTCACCAGAACTAGAGAAATGAAGTTTTTTGAACTTTTAATCATAGGCAGAAGCAGTAAGTTAAGAAGAAAATCGTGGCTGCAGAAAACTAGAAGATCAGCTGGGTAAGGGTGGGAGAAAAGATCCACAGTAAACTTGGGACGATTGTGAGTTTACCCAAAGGTAAGGAAACATACCTTGTGGTAAGCATCTCCATTTCCACGCCTGTGAAATCTATCAAACAATCGCGAGCTCGATTGCGATCTGTGCTTTGAGTCGTCTGATATTGATGGCTGTAGCCTTTTGTAGGCCATGGACGAGATGCGCGACATTCTGACACTCTAGGACGAGTAGCCTGGTCAGTGAACCCGCACTCAGCGTTACCTAATGAGGCAATGTGTGCAACACACAGGGAAGAGGATCACGAAGCCGATGGGGGCGATGATGAAGAGGGGCGGAGCGCGCGCGACGAAATCGCGTCGACACAGTGGAGTCATCACATCCGAAAACAGCGACGACGACGTCGACGGAGCCTCGTCGTAAACTGCGCTATTTCGCGCTACGTCCTCCCATGAAACAAAATTAATTACGTACAAAACAACTGCAACCCGGAGCAGTGGGAGCCATTTCCATGCAGAATAATGCGACATTGAAGGGGTTGGGACGACTATTTTTTGTCAGTTTTAAAGGGGTCAATACCTAGACAAATCGGAACTTGAGTTTCTCATAAGGAAGGCAATCAATGAAGTTTGACTCAAGCCATGCCTAAGCGACAGCTCGTGAAAATTATTGGTGGTTGAGCGACCCAACTCCAAACACCAGCCCAAACCGTACTATCTACCGCAATCGAAAAACGCTGATTGGCCCGCCTGGAAAGTGTACAATCTGGGCGTTTGAGCTTGGGAGTTTTAATGTCCTTCTCATGCGAGAACTGATTTAGAAGCCCTGAACTTATTATTGCACAAAGGGAAGTCCAGAAGATTCATTAGCGAACGAGCATTAGCTCTAAACTTCGATCCAAACAGTACAATACTACTCTCAGGATGTGCAAACTTTCCGTGAATGTGCAGAATTTCGGGTATTCCGCGAAAGTCCGCAAAATTTCCGGAATTCCGCGACATATACGGAAATTTTGCATATTCTGAAAATGTTATTGTACTTTCTACCGTAGTTAAGCACACTGATTGGAAGGAGTACATCTGGGCGAAGATTAGAAGCTACCATTCTAGGCCGAAAGAACCGTATGAGCTACAGCTTTGGTATAAAGTTCACAAGTAAACCAGACTGGCGCCCAACCAGTGATTTCTACCGTCCTCAGTGACGCTGATTGGTCCGCCCGGATTGGCCATGATTGAGTGATATGAGTTGCCACTTGGGTAATAACTTAGCTGAAGCTTCCTACTGATCCAATCAAAAAGACAAGGTAACCAAGATTGCTTAA